GTGCAGACGCAAAGGCGAGACTGACAAAGTAATGGTGGCATTCCTATCGTTGAAGAACATATGTAACTCAAAACAACTGTCTGCAAGCCAACATCAAAGTCAGAATCCTCAATACGAACTTCAAGACAGTTTTGCAGTATGGAGCTGAACAATGGAACAATAATACAACCATCATCAAGAAGGTACAAGTATTTGTAAATAGTTGTCTACGCAGGATACTTAATATCCTTTGATCGGATATCATCAGAAACAGTCTATCGTGGGAGAGGATATACCGGCTTCCAACTGAAGAGGAACTCAGGAAAATACGTTGGAAGTCAATAGGACATACATTACGGAAACCACCAAACTGCTTCACGAGGCAAGCTCGAACTCGAGCTTCTGAGGAGGAACGGAAAAGAAGACGACCAAAGAATACACTAAGTCAGGAATCGGAAGCAGACATGAAAAGGATGAATAGCAACTAGAAATAAGTGGAATGGTGAGTGCTGGTTGGTGGCCTATGCTCCTCGACGAGAGATAACAAGCGTAAGTAAGTGAGTTAGTTGCGTCGCATATGCACGTTTCTTCACCATATTAGTATATTCGTATGAACGCTAGCATGGCTTACTATGTAAAAAATAGGAACATTCACCAAGCTTTCACGGGATCTGAGATGCCACGCATTCCTTGGTTGTGGTATGCCTTTACAAAACAATTTGAAGTTTGCATGCAGTTGTTATTTTTATATTTGACTCATTGGATGAGTAAACATGGAAGTGGTCAATGTTAAACAGAGTCATCGTCAACTTGTAAATCGTTCGTTCACATAATTTTTCGTATCCGGAAATTCGTTAAACTGTTCACTGGTATAAAGGTGATTCTTAGAAAGGTTTCAGCCTATCAATTTGTTGATAGATGCCATAAGTTGCATACTAGAAAACGTATGGGAAGCTTCCCACCTTTATAAAGTTACGAAAAACAAACGATCAATCGGGAAGCCGACGATCAGACTTCGTTATCAGCATCAAATTCGACAAATAAATGGAATAGAAGCCAACAGAATGTATCCATAAGTGCTTTACCTGTTGTAAACAGTACCATTCGCTTTCAAACCCTCCTAGGTTTTTAACTAATCATTTAGTACTTGCAAACAAATCGTAGGCATCAAATAAAGTGATCCACAAACTTCAAGCAGTACTATGAAATCTGAGGACAATTCAACTACGACGTTTGTAATACTGACAGCAATTCACAGTTAACATATTTGGTGGCCCATGGATCTGACTCCAATTAGATCGTATGGATGTTTGCTGTCGCCTATTCTCGTATATCATCGTCGACTTTAATCACGTTAGTCAATAACGGAATTTAGATAAGTCGAATAACGAGAATTGACTTGTGAATACATATATTTTGTACATGAAGCGAATGAAACAGCTAAGCAAAATGACAGGCAGGGAAGATGGCTGGGAAGCCAACTTCATTTTAGTCAAGCGTTACTCAATACTTATAGTCAGATAAAATAAAGCTACAGACATGTGATTAATGGAATAAGAAGGGCACACACATATACGCTCATATAAAAGCAGTCAAGACTAATAAGCGAATAATTAACAAGGTCAAAATATGACTCAAGTAGAATGAATAGAGTGGTTTTTCCAAAAACTAGAATAAGGCATATAATAATAATAATAATTTATTCTCAAATAACAGTTTGTTACATGAGGCATGCCAGTTTACAGGCAAGATCAAATTGATACAAATGATACAATATACACTGTATTAAATTACATAGCTGGGTTGAAAATTTATAAGACATGAATGTAGATTGTTTTAATCAGTACTATAGTTGGCGCGCTTCACGAGAGTTGCGTTGCGAATGTGCGACTGATGGTCAAGAATAGGTCCATTGAAGGTATGAGCTTCTAGAAATCGCAACCTTATGTCCCTTTGGGATATCCAAGGCTTTAAGGATGGTGCTTAAAATAATGACTGACACTACACATACAATATGAAATCATTAGAAAGTACAATTTCGATATTACTCATTAATATGCATCGGATTTCTGCTCAAAATTTGGTCAATAGTTGCAGATTCTGTTTGCAGAAGCCTATTCTTTAACTCTGTAATAGACACCGTAGATTAGTATTAACCAACAACATATCTCAGTTACCATGTTAAAAACTGAGTCCTTTTACTAATAAAGAATATGTGGCTAATTCATATGACAGTGTAATGTTATACACAGTTGACGTGTGTGTTCAAAAAGTGGTTGGAGAAAACCATCAACGTCTATCATCACCCATATACTTTTTTCTTCCTCAGATAAGTTACACATTAATACACCACTTCCGTCAAAAGTGATGATACCTATAATGAATAGAACCGTTTATGTTTTCTTTGTTAGAAACTTATATGATGTTTAAAAGTAGTTTAAAGCAGAATTGCCTCGACCTGCTTTTACTTAACAACTGTTAGACATCACTGTTCATCAACATACTTTGGGGTAGCAAATTAAATGTTAAAGGTCTTCGTAACTCATTTATGTTTGAAAATCTGAACGCAATCTATCTCTTACCCCATAAATATTGCATTTCACTTGCTTCAGTTCAAAATGATACAAATGACCAAAGTAAAGTTGACTTGACAACCACCCAGGTAGTGAACAGCAACTACGTCATACTACTAATTAACTGAGATTAGTATTATTTACAAACATCTTATGGGTACATGAGTGTTGTGAAGAAACCATTTCGAGTTTCTTCAAAAATGCAGTAATACACAAGTTTCAATGATGTTAGCATTATATTTGCCATATTTGAAAAAAGAGAGTAACTGTAATAGAATAAAAACAAATCAGGTTCTGTGTAATTGAGAAGAATATTGGATTGAGTTTAATGAAGGAAAGGAAGAAAATAAGGGAATAGAAATAAAGGAGACGTGGAATACGCAAAAAGCTTAATAGGCGTGTTTATGAACACAGAACAAGAATAAACAACTATGCATGTATCGTCAAATTAGTAACAAAAATAAAATATAAAATAATTCAGAAAGGATAACTTATTATTGAGGTAAGATATGACGCTGGAATAAATGTTTGTGCAGTCATAGTTTGGGATGACGCGTGAAAATTACAATTAACTTCAAGGGACAACCAGAAATTAAATATGTTTAAAAGGGTAAGAAGGGATAAAAAATATCTAATGTGTCGGGGGACCAATAATGATATTAATAACGGTAATAATTATAATTACGAACATAAGCAGACTTCATGTATTAAGATGAATAAAAATAAAATGAAATAGGCGTGAAAAGTTATGTAACAAGCACAAAAATTACGAAAACTGACGCGTAACGGCGAAAATACTGTTAATAGCTAATAAATAAAGCTACCCAAAAGCTTGATAATATTCACAACTTAACTTACTTTTCATACCAAAGTCATATCAAACTTTCCTCACTATGCGGGCGAGAAGTCGCCATATCAGCTGTTGTCCTGGTGTAATAGTAAACGCCCGACAAGTCACGCATTTACTATCCTAATTGTGTTGGTTCATTGAGACACTAAAATGACGGGACAAAAATGAAGAATAGCATTTTCCATTCATTGTGATTATTGGTCAGTATTACTTCTGTCCTTACTTCAGTATAATATTTACCTTATTATCAGTGTGGTATTTTATTCAGTGCAATATTGGTTTATTTCGGTATGACATTCATTCAACACATGACATATTTTGTATTGAATCAACATGAACTACGTTCAGCATGACATGCAACATTCGGTTTTTGTCATGTGTGACTATTTCCTAATCAACAATCAGGAGTGTGCACAAATTATTGTATAAATGAGTTCGTTTTAGACTAGTCATCTTCGTGTTTTCACGGTAAGTAAATTTTCAGTTGTATTAGTGAGAGCAACTGATAAAACAGAACTTATTCCAAAATATGGCCGTCACCATTTCAAACATCCTACAAATTTTGGAATGTCGGCACACTGGCAGAATAAATGCTACAGCGGGACTAAAAGGGCAGAGGAAAGGCACAATAACGATTCAAGCTGTTCATTATTGTTCACAGTAATAGCTGATATGATATATCCCAATTAACTGTAATCAATCAATAAGTATAGCGACGAAGGTACGAACTAAAGTCAAATTTATTTCCAGTCTAGTTTAATTGCAAGCCAGACACTGAAAAAGTGGGCTAGTTTTGAAGGGTATTTGGCACATTATTTAGGGACACTATCAAACACGAAGACTCTGTAGAATTATGGTCTACTCCGTTAATAATATTACCCTAATAATTGACCTAACCATAAAAATGTAAATTTGTCATGATGTAACTGCCTAATCTATAAAATCCTACGTGAAAGTCATTTCATTGTTTATTCTGACTCATGTCGTAGGACTCAGCTATATAACGTCCAATATTTCAGAGGAACCCACTTAGACTGGAGATAGAACAATATATTTAATATGAATAAAGGGGATAAATCACTCAATAATGACCATGGCTGCAAGGCTGAGCCATGCCATCCGATGAATTGAATTAATGTTCCCGCGTCTTCCATGGTTAATCTTCTCTTCGTGCAAATTGTTGAATATGTTTTTTTAATAATTATATGGTTGGCTTCAAAAACCGTGTTGTTAGCGTCGAACGCCACTGCAAGTCTACCAATAAGGTTCATGGAAAATTTACATTACGAAACCACAACCGATTTTCTTGAACCAGTTTATTTCCGAGTCGTTTATCGAAGCTGATAGTCTCAGATGTTATAATGAAATCGGTTATTTCCTTTTTTATTAGCTTTGGTCTAGAATAAAGCCATATTGCTCAAAGTTTCTCTTTCTTTAACGCGAGTAAACGATGGGTGGTCCAGAGCGATTTGAGAACCAAAGAATAGATAATGTTCTCTTTAACATTGAATAGTGAAGAAAAAGGAGTATATGAGGTGACAGGTTATTATTTCTTATGTAGTATATTCGTAAAGTTGTAAACTGTATATTGAAACTCCATTTCAGTGGAGGGTTTTATGTGATACTTCGCTACCAGTCGCACAACGTGTTTTCCACGATGGTTGTAGATATGTGTATAAACGGGTTGGGAGAGGATTTAGAAACTTTCATAGCAAACAAAAGCAAAGGTATTTTTCAGTACTTATTTATTGCACAGAAAACCTCGGGGAATATATAGACGATATATTTGTCCATATTGTTGATTGCCTAAATGATTCTTCTAAGAAATACTCTTATTGCGTCAAGTTTATACGTTCAGTATGTGCAAAGAACCTGTCTGCATGTTTGGCTGCTGCTAAAAGTCTGGTGTGGGTTCCTAGTGAAAAAAGTTATGCATTCAGGTAGCAGTATGAATTTTAAATCCTACAATTATCCATTCAAGGCCTCATAGTGACACCGTTTATTCCTTTTATCTATTCAGTGAAGTTATTTCTTTCTGTCTTGATGATTCAGTGGAGTTGGTAGATTCAGATATAGTAAGGTTGTTATCAGTGCTGAAACGTATCTGTTCAGGTTGATGTTTGGTGTCGCTCTGCTTCGTACATACTATTTACATGTGAAGGTAAAGATCTTAAAAGGAGTTCGACTGTATGTTCAAAGTTATGGAATCAGGTAGTGTAGTCTTTTTCAAAAGTGATTTTCCAGAACCGGAGTTTTCTTCTAAGTGTTATGAAGCATTTATCTTCAATCAGCCCAACAATAATTAATATGGCTGTTGTCTCTGAGTTGTGTGCCTTCATCAGTCATAGTCCAGTTCCTGAATTTGAAGCTGAGTATAAAGTAACAGGATCTATCATGTGCTGATCTCTTTTCAGGATGTATTTCCAAACCAACTGCTTAAGTCCATCTTTGAAGGAAAGCAGGAAGTAACATATATTCCCCTGGTAAGCTTAACTTTATTTCTGCTTGTATCATTGTCCATTTAAACCGCTACTGTCTATAATACATCTGTATAGGCATTTCATTTAGGTGTGAACATGTCACCTGGAAACGTGATAAATCGCAATCATGAATATTACGAAACCGTAGACGACCCGCTGCGAAGAAGGGTTACTCGCTTACCCTTCTGATATTATGAAAAGATAACCTTTAACACTTTCATAGCGCACATTATGCGAAGCGTTTGTTGTGTTGAGAGTGTTCCGAGAATTAGGAAAGCTGAATAGAAACAATCTCTAAGAGGTTGCATGAGCCGAAATCGTAACCCCGATACCTGACTTATCAAAGCAATGAGACATTTTAAAATATATATCTTGATATAATCTTGTAAGTTTTCGAAGTCATTAAAAATAAGTCAGGTAATTCTTCACCACTTTTCTTTTTGCACCCTTTCTTAGCGACGCTGTTGTTCAATCTTGAATGTGTGCTGTGATAGTACCAGTTTCAAAGTCCTTGTACTTCCAATCATAAATCGTGCCATACTTCGTTCTCCGGAAAACCAATTACGTAGTAAGTTAATACTTATTGACTTGTGAGTTCGTCGTATTATTCATCTAACTAGAAGCTAGTGCACAATTCTTAATGACATCGGCAAGTAATTCGTATATCACATAAATAGTTTTAGATCTGAGCTTACCTTATTATTATTTGTATTATTTGAACACATAGGTATTGGTACAAGGAGGCACCAAATGCATATGCACCACACAAATCTCATTTGATTTGTGTGAGGGCTGTAATACTGCTCGGGTGCCCGAACTGAAGCAGGTGGTTTTCTTAGGGGGCCACACCTGGAGCCTTCAACTTAAAGGTCTGATCCACAAGGTAGTAGAGCATCGTAAGGAGATGCAGTCCCATGGTAGCCGGTGACCAACGATTGGTTCATACGCCATTTGTTCACTCAGGATACTGGAGCCCATGTGCATCATTGGTTTGGAATGAGGGTTTTCCAACCCCCCTAGTTAGACTCTCCATATCCACAAACCCGTTTAAAGCACCGGACATTCGCTCACCTTCTCCTCGTATTCATTAGTTTGTCGTATAAAAGTACAAATCCGAAACCTGACGTTTCTTGTGTTAAGACTGCACATTTTTTCAAGTTATCTCCAACTATTCAGCCTTCCAATCAGTTATTCGATGTTTGTTGTCTGAGTTTGTAGGTTATTCACAAACAAGTAAAGAAACTGTCAAATTTTCGGCAGTGTGAGATAATGTAAGATTATGGAAACAGAAGCAATCGTAAATCAAAAACTACCTTTTTTGTATGCCTGATCTCATTTCCTTTCGGTCAGTTCTTAATTGGGTCTCTGTACGAGTATAGAATGTCTAACCTTGCTAACTGCTCCCACCTGTTGCGTAGTTGAAGTATTCGTCTGCCAACTGAGAAGCAAGTAAGCGGTCAACCTCGCTCTACAGCTATGAAAATTAGGATATATAAACATACTTAGACTACAGGTATTTGATCATACGTATATTTAAAGCATTGCTTCCATATGATGGAGTTAGGACGGTCAAGCCAAAACATGACATTAGTGCTTGAAGTCACTAACTTCTAGTCTGAGCCATGTTGGTAGATGCAGACTACCTGGTTCGGGTCCGCGTGACTATCGTAACCAGTGGTTGGAGACTGTGGGTGACATGGCTCAGAATCGACCACAATGGCGTCGGTGTATACACTCTCTGTCTTCCCTTAAACTAAGAGATTATAATCTCTTCAAATCTTTCTTTCTACGAACTAATTCTTTCTTCCTGTACAATATTTCTCTTATATATTCCCACCATCGAATTAACTGCTATGAATTTGGTATTCATCTTGTTGTTCTAATCAGGTATGGCAACCTAGACCGATGCGTATATATGCCTAGTCCTATGTCGTAGCCGACTGATTGATAGAATGGAGTCACTCAGTAAGTACTGCCAAGGTTAGCTTCAATTTATTTACCGAAGATGTCAGGTCAATTTATCAGGCCATAAACTATCAGTTTAAGTCATTAAGGCATGTGTTTATAGTGTCTAACCACCACGTATCTCGATATGTAATGTTGGCTGACAGTAGTGGGTTTTAAAAGATGATGGGGTGATCAAGGTGCAGACTTCTTGTTTGTGGCTTGCACAATAGTCATGATTAATTGTCAGCGTTTGTGGATAATATGGTACAAAACTGATCACAGTGACTCAGTCGTATTCGTTCAATATATTTCTCTTAGTTTATCTAGCTTCTCATCCTCAGATCTCACTTGTCCCACATTAACTGCATATTTTACGCTTAGATTCCCGTTACCTGCCTGACCGTAGCTGATACATCGACTTGATGGTCGGGCTTGCCTATCGTGATGACTCAACCGAGATATGTTGTCTGGAATACATGTTCCTTTAGGCCTTACCATCACAGGCAGGCCGGTTGGGGGACGATAAGACTAAGGCCCGAGGACGAAGTCGTACTGCTGACTGTAAAAGGTTGTGACAGCAGTAAGGCGTTTCCCTCAGACAATCAGCACCTGCAGCGAGGCTACCTTCTCACAACGGAAAGAAGGGGTTGGGAAATGTCACACCCCACGGATTTCCGTCTCTAGAGGCCTTTTGAAGTGTGTAGTTAACACATCAATAACTACTCACTAAAAGGCAGTGTATGACCGACCTCAAGCAGTTGTCCCTTGGGCTCTGCGATCACGCTCCCAGGTCCCTAAGACCACCACTAATTCAGCTTATTTTTCATGTTCCTCAAGAAATATCCTCCCACGATTGAGCAACTGGAAATTGACAACTGCCCTCATACCTCTATCAGCATCCAAGATCTCGTCGGGGATCGAATCCCTCTCCCTCACCTTTTGATAATTCCTTCATCCCCGCGACTAATCCTCATTTATTTTTATCACCACGTGCCACCAATGCAAATGAACTGAGTTCACGAAATGTTATTCCTAGTCCCCTGAAACCACGCTCTAAACTGCGTGTTGGATCTTTTGATGTTCGAACCTTGTGTCAGATAGGAAAACGTGCTTTTTTGGTTAAGACTCTGAAACCTCGCATCGTCAATTTATTCTGCTTCTCGGGAACGCACATACAGGATTCCAAGTACAGTCATTCATCGTACCTGATCCTGTCAACATACAGAACCGGGACGATTTACCATTCGGTTATCTGGAGATCTCACTGCTGCCTTCCGCAGCCTCGCCGGTGTAGGTATAGCATTAAGTTCTTATGCATAACAGGCTCTGTTATACTGGATTCCAGTAGATAGTCACTTGTGCACTGTTTGGCTAAACGGGACAGTAAGAACTTGAAAAGATAAGGACACACGCCTTTGCCTTTTCGTTGTCTCTGCCTACGCTCCCACTGATTACAGCTTGGGTGAAGTTAAAGATGAATTCTATGGGAAGCTATAGTGGCAAGTAATTTTAGTGCTCAAGTAGGCAGTCTGAACCAAACCGAAAGGCACTTGTGTAGATTTTACAGTGTTGAGGTTCATCGGACAGATAATGGCGACCGCCTGTTGCAACTGTGCTCAAATAACTATCTGTTTTTGATAGACATCAACTTCGAACGTAAGGAGAAACATTGTTTGATATGGTGACCCTCACAGTCGACTCATCGATGGACTTAAATAAATCAACTTGTCACTAGTCATCTTTGGAGGAGCTCGATTGAAGACTATCACTCATTCTGGAGCACACGCTTAGAGCCGGATCTTGCCCAACTCTTAATAAGGTTGTTAAAGCTATCAGTATTCTAAAGCAAGGATGGGTAGGAGGGCTTGACGGACTAAACCCTGAGATTTTTAAACGTGGTGATCCAGTTTTAGCAGTTAGATCAGCTGAAATCTTAGTTAAAATCTGGGGACTGATCTTACTGATCGTCTCAGCTTATAAGAAAGGACGGAAATCCTCTTGTGACAATCACCGAGGTATCTGTTTAATTAACATAGTGTCCAAAATATTAACCTCAATGATACTTCGACGTTTAACTAAAGCTCTTGAAGAGTAGGTCTGAGAAAATCAGGCTGGTTTTAGACCTGTATGCAGATGTATTGACCAAATATTCACCCTTCGACAGATCTTGGAGCAAAGACATACTTTCCGACGTCCGACTATAGTTGTATTTCTTTGACCTAAAGGTGATGTTCGACCCTGTTGATCGTGAGGTTCTATGGCAGTGTCTGTCATTGAAAGGCATCTTACAGAAGTACATCAAGCTTGTACAGGTTCTCTATTCGGTTACTAATGGTCAAGTCAGAGCTTATGGTAAACTGTCATCGAAATCGGTTAATTCAAGTGATCTTCAGGGTTGTCTTTTTCTTCCGTTTTTATTTAACTGTCATAGACATGCTTTCACAGATAACACTTTCATCGTCTGACTTTTCAGGGGTTTGTCTTCTGATGGTTTGTTGTCTAACGAAATCTCAGCACTGGTTCAGAAGGTTTGATTGGCTTTTGCCAACCTGCGTCACCTGTGGCGTAAGCGAGATGTCCGTCTTCCAAACAAAGGACGAGTTTACTGCACAACTGTTCGCTCCATTCTATTTTATGGCTTTGAAACATGGTCATTAAGCGTAGAGGATATTTGTGGGTTACTAGTATTCAATCATGGGTGTCTACAAAGCATTGCTCGTGTATTTTAGTAGCACGGAGTAAGTAATGTCTGGGTTAGGAACAGAGTGCTATATAAAGATGGGAAGTCGATTTATAGCGTCATAAATCTTCACCAACTAATGTAGTTGGGACGTGTTACGTATACCCAACCACCTCCTACCTCGAGAGAAGTAGGATGGAAGAAAGCTAGCGGTGGCCATACCAAAACATAGCATCGGTCCATGAAGGCACTGACAATTGGGCCTAGCCATATTAATAGACTAGTTGGTCTTAACCAGTGGTTAGAGATTTTGAGTGATATGAATCAAAATCGTTTGCAATAGTGCAATTGCATCCATCTTTTGTCTTCCTCTTAATTCTGAGATTCTAAATTCCTCATAACTTTTCTTTTGTTCTTATTTCACTAGTTTACATTTTCTCGAATCGTATCTTCGATGCCTAATCTTTCGTATTACGACCAGTACTTTTTCTAAATTTCACCTTTCATTACTCTAAGCTTTCTTCTTGCCCTGTCATTAAGTTTACGATCACTAAGTAGTGTATAATATTGTCAATTCTTCTTTATAGCTGATTTTTCAAATTATAAGAGTTAATGTATGTTTCCAATAAGTAACAAGTCAATTCGACTTTTATTTCGTCTTGTTCACATCGATACTTTCTGTCTTTACTTTATATGCAGTTGATAAATTTATACTGATAATTTTAGGCAATATATTTATATTTATCCACTCGTAACGCTGATACCTATTGAATCATGGTGATTTATAGATATAGTCTATAATACTATTTTTTCCATTCTCTCATGTTTTCATTCTTTTAGTTGTAAATTCTTTGCTCGAAGATTTATCTTTTACTTTGGATCTTTGTGCTATGGACTTAGCTCAGTCAGTTGTAAAAAATCTGCACGCTACATCAGACATAACCAGAAAGGATGCTGTAGTGATGTTGTGTACAATATCAAGGAAGTGTTCGGAAGTTGATACTCTCTCTTCTCTATGTAAACTTGTAAGGTGCTTCTCGTTGTCTGTTTTAACGTAAAAACCCTATTGTATTTGCCGTCTATAATTCAAATAAAACATGATGATACGTTGACATTAGGTGTTTCGTTTAAAACTTTATGCGCCTAAATCTCTAATTTCAATATGGTGTTACCTTTGATATTAATTTTTTTGTCGGTTATAGTTTGGCGTCGCTTGATTGTTCGTCTCCTCGCCTTTGTATCCACGATGTACCCAGTCAGTCCGCATACCTCTCATTCATAAACTATTTTCACTTTGTTAGATCATTCGCTTTTCTAGTGATTTCGTCACGTAACGTCTTTTTCAGGTTTGCAGCCCACGTACACGGCTGATAACGCGTTATCGACCTATTTTACAATAGATAGCCGTATATATATACAATAAATAGAAATACAAGTATTCGGATTCAATAAGTGATATCGTTGAGAAAGACTTTTCTTTACTGAATTGCCATTGATTTTCTAAAATCCACGAGGTTAAATTTGATTTTATGTATTGTAAACATTTACCATAGTTGTGCCTAAACATCCTATTTCGAACTTATAAAAAATATTTTGTTAAGGATTCAGTTAGAGATAAGATCATTTTCAATTTCTGTCCTTTATGCGCACTAAACAAATTATTTTGCCTAGCACTTAGATGCACTTTTGTGTAAAGCTAAGAAGTTCGACTTCATTTTTGTTTTACCAATATTATTTGTGATTCAGTTATCTAAACACTTGGTTTATCAAAAGATTGACTCATGGTACTGCTGCTCTAGTTGGGCTAGGTACTTAGTAAATAATTATATGACTACTGTAAATACTTAATTTTCTTTGCTAGAATGGTCAGTCAATGACCTGTTTTGTTTTTTAGATGCATAGAACAACTATTAAGTATTTTGTTTGATTTCACCTTTGGTTTACTTGTACACAACAGTCGACTCTTGAAATTACTAATTTTTTTTCTAGGTTTATGCACAGTTCGCTGGATCTGAGGGTAAGAAGGCAAGTCAAGAATCAAGATTTGCTGCAATTACATGTTTTGGTGAACTTTCTAAATGTGGTATAAAACAGAAATCTAATTTAGATCGTGTCGTCACTGTAGCTATCAACCTACTTTTAGATTATTTAGAGCGCGAAAGTAAGTTTTATGTATAAAACCTCATTTTATGTATTGAATTGTTATCTTAGTAAATGTATTAAAGTATTTTTCAAATATTTTATTTTACTTCAAATATCCAGTAAATGGTAGACGATAGCGTTAAACAACATACCTGGTATTTAATACTTGATAATCTCTGATGGTGCTTTTTACAATCAGATGCTTCTATCCTAGCTTATGTTTTAATTACAATCTACTTGAAAATAAAAAGTTGGTCTTATTAGACATTTACGGAACATGTAGATTTTAAGCCGATAACAATTTTTTATTGCTTCTACCGTAATACCCTGTCACTTATTCGCTTATCAACCTTGACTATTTTTACGTAAGCGTATGTGTATGCATTTCTTATCTTACTCATCACATGTTTGCAACTTATTTTAGTCTGATTATAAATATCTATTCACGTTTGGTTAAATGGAGTTGGCTCACTCGCCTTCTCCACTGCGCGCCATTTTGTTTGGCTTCGCTTTCCGATCAACGACTGTACAAAATACACATATTCAAAACTTCATCCTCGTATTTGACTTATTTAATTCCATTATTCACCAACGCGAGTTAAGTGGATAATTATATACAAGGACTGGGGATATTTATATTTCGACATAAGTACCAAACGATCTACCTGAAGTCAGATCTCGAGCCACTAAAACTTCATCAAAACAGCCAACACATTACGTTCTACAGCTGTGTACAATAATTGTGTGTTTTGTATTTATTTATGATTGCTTGTTTAAACTTGAAATAACTAATAACCAATACCAACATGTGAATATACTTGTTCCAGGTCACTTAAGCAGTATGATTTACAAATAACCAAATAATTTCTTAATCATTATTGAATATCTATATTTCTGTATTAGGATTTTTTTATACATGTTATATTATTACCATCGTGATTTCAAGTACTACTTGATGTTCAACATCAGAATAAATACACTCGAATTCAAAATAAACCAAGAAATTTTTGTTTCTCTTGAAATCGTTGTTTATTCAGGACCATAGACGCAACATATTGTGTAGTTTAGTACATACTTTTCCTCATGTTGATGTCCTATTTTTTGAAAAATTCTCAGTTCACGTTATTTGTGGAGATTTAAGAGATATGTGGCGCCATTGTATGGTGACTGTTTAAAGTTCACGGTATCTAGATATCTATAAGCAAATGACCGACAGTCTAGTAGGTAATGATTTAACATGGACGAACTCATAAAATCACTGAGATACAAATTTAGGATGCAGTTATATTCCCGTAATTACTTGTGTTTTTCACTGCTAGTTACCAGCATTACAAAAATAATTTTTAGAATAGGATCTACGGTTGCACTGAAACATTGATACTGTATTAACATATGCTAACCACCACTCTAGCTCAATTAGGCAATCCGAGCAGGAGAGATCTCACTGACATATTTATTACATACTTTATTCGACATTTTATTATGTATTTTGTGTCTATTTATTTGAACTTATAAGTTTCGGTGTAAATGGGCACCAAAAAATATGAACCACACAAGTAAAAGTACGAAGTAGTAAAGAAATAGATGAAGGAGGGTTAGTACAATCAGGTGAAATACAGAAAGTCGCCGAACATCTTCAGCTTGAAAGGGCCATTTTTCATAAGCAAAGAATATGTGTATACTGAAGTGATTATTCTTTATCAGATTTTGTACTTAACTTGTCCATTGTAAAATTCATATTAATTGGCAATTATCCACTTTAGCATATGAAGAGATAATCATTTATACTGCTAAACAATTGGCTGGATGGATACATCGTTTAAAATCGAGTCCTCCTGATCGTTTCTTTAATTTTATAAAGGTAATCCATTTTTTACAACCTTTGGAAGTTTATTTGTGTTATGAAGTTTCAACTAATCCATGAATCGCTCCAATAAATTTTACCTCATCTTTTTTTAACTTTATTAAAACATTTGTTTAAATTGCTTCTCTAGTAACTGTTATTCTAGACTGCTGAACAATCTAACTCTAAACGTCAGTGGTAGATTATTTCAGCTTTATAGAGTAACGCAATCTTTCTCATCAATTTCTTCAGTTACATCCGAAGTTGTACTTCACCAAGTATGTTGTTGTTGGACTACATTTTGCGATCACAGACAACTTAGCCACTATTTCCCACTTTGTAATGTTCACAATATTCCCGTGACCTCTAGATGTTTACCAAAATACAAGTACAGACCTCAGTGTATTATGCTTTACTTGATAGGAGTGAAGCGAAGTTTATGACATCACTTAAACATTCGCCAAAATTAATCACAGTTTGGCAACAGTCAATATCTTACTGGAGAATTATTTGTCGTTCGCAATGCTCTTGTAGTCGTAATTTAGGATCTTTTCATTTAGAATTCAGTGTTAATTTATGTTATCATCTTAAAAACGGAAGCTAGACTGCACCTATTAGCTTTTAAATCGGAATGTTTGTACGAAGTTTTCCTTCTAATATTTACGGACATGGATTACTGATTTTCTCTATAATCAGTAACAGTTCGTCTAATAAACACATTTTCATAATTGTGACTGCTACATTATTACGTCAGATGATTTAGTTCACGATACACATAAGATCAAGCATGAACAACGATATTGTTTACTTTGCCATATCTCTTATGATTATATTTTTAGTATTTTAAAAAGATATCTTATAAAGATTTCAATTCAGAGTTAAATACTAATTATGCTTCTACTTGTTATCATTTGAACCAATGTACATACGTATAGGTTCTATGTTGTGACTGAGTGACGGACTTAAGTTTGTGACTTCTCTGATCTAGTCATGGTACGCTAATAAAATCTTTTTTTTTCGTTATCCATTTACTCAGTCATATTCTTTCTCGAAGAAAACAAGTGCATCTGTCCATTCGGTTTTGCTTATGTGCTTGGATACAACATTATCTAACGGTAGGTTATCTCATTGCTATTATTAATATATGTTCAGTGATTTTTTATTTTAAGTATCATGCATAAAATTATTTAATCGGTACAATACTACTGCTTACTACTAACTCTAATTAGTAATTAGCGTCCTGTTTATATCGGTCATTAATTGATTAGTTCTATTTGTTTGTTTATATTTTCATGGATTAGTCACATCTTCGGGGAAGAATTCACCTTTTCGGTAGCTCTTTTGACTGGCCGGTGTCTGAAGGAATTTCGCCACGTGTTCGGAAAGCTTGAGTGACCTTTACCAACTGAAGTCACTTATGGCGTCGGCGAAATGTCCGCTTATCAACTTAAGAACTAGTTTACTGTACAGCGGTTCTCTTCTCTCTACTTCATAGGTTTGAAACATGGACATTACGAATAGAGGATATTTTTTAGATTACTAGTATTCGATCATATATATCTTCGAAACATCGCTCGTGTACTTTGGGACTACTGAGTGGGCAATGCTGAGGATAGACACAGAGTACTAGATAAAAGTGTTAAATCAATTGATGGAGTAGTGGGTTTACATCAACTGAGGTGGTTGGGACATGTGTTACGTATGGCCAACTATTGCCTATTTGGACGGGTGTTTTTTTATGTAGAAGTATGCTGAAAGAAATCTGGGTGGGGGGGAAACAAAAACATGGCACCAGTCCATTAAGTCATTAAGAGTTTAACTGAGCCATGTTAGGAGGTATCGATTACCTGGTTGTGGTCTATGTGATTATCGTAACTGATTAGAGACTTTGGACGTCATGGTTCATAATCGTTCAGAATGGTACAGATCCATTCGCTCTTTTCCTTCCTTTAAAGCGTGAGTTCCAAAGTCTTTATATCTTGTCTCATTTTTGCATGCCTAATCATTTCTGCTACCACTGATAATGTTACTACTTTTACTAAAGAGGTTTGTCTTGAAATTTTATCTCTATATACTAATACGGTGTGGCAACTTGGACTGATGCACATATGTCAGGTTCTCATGTTTCATGTGACTGACTGACAGAATACTTTTGACCAAATAAAAGTACATACTATCTGTTGATTAAAATCCATTTGAGACATACTTTAAATATCAGGAAAGTTTTTTTTCTGACATCACAAATTTAGTTAAAGTTCAAACTTATCAATTTTCTCTAATTTCTCATTATGTATGTATGATTATTAATATTTCCACACGTTTTGTACATGATATCTTTGCAATATTACAATCAAAATTGTTTGATAATATTTCTTAAATTTTAGGTGTATCTGGCAATAAATTGCCGACTGCAATTATTCCAAACCTTCTAGAATCAGTTGAACAAGCATCTGGTCAACCCTTACACTCAACAGCAATTCATAAGTCTGTTATGGCATCATTGATTTGGTTACGGTATACACTGTCTATGACAAAAGTACCTATTACAGAGGAGTTGTTCAAGTCAAATATTAAGTCGTCACCTTTCTGGAATATGCTGTTAAATGTGTCGGGAACCAGTAATAAGCGTTGTCCGTGGTTTACTGAAAAGTTTCTACAGACTGCACCATTCTATGGTATTTAATTTCTTCTGAATAACTGATTAAACGTTCTTAATTCATTTAATTAGCTCGATTGTCAGGTGCGTATTCATGTATTTGTCTTCGAATCAAGACCAATTAATACTACTCGATCACCATTACCAAGATAGGTGACTGAAAGCCGAACGTCACCCCTTTGTCCGTTCGAATCAGAAATCACAGTCTCAAGTCAGTGCATTGACTAATTTTATTTTCGTGGGAAATTTAGATTCCCCACAGAAAGAAATGGATACAAATTTATGTGTCTATTCATCATGAGAAATTTTCTATCTAGTTATATGAGTAAACAAGGTTTTATGATTACTGAAGTTCAGTTACAGGAAACTGTAGTATTTTTTCCCCATGTCCAAAATCGAGTAGGTTGTCTTTTCAAGATGGTGGATGCTAATAATTTTTTGTATTTATCAATACGAAACCAAAATTCATCCATACCAAGCCTATAAAGCATGATCCTGTTTCGAGACTCATTTTTAGAAGAGCTGCTAATTTGGTTTCTTTAAATGCATTAGCATATGCTTAAAATGTGTTATAAGTATAGTTGTCATGCTTCCACACTAATAGTATGTGCTGACAGAAATTAGAAATACTCATTCTATCAGGAACTTGAGTTTAGTGACACGAGCGCGCAATCCATGTATGAAGTAATGACCCTTTTCAACTTGTGGATGATCCAACATTGGTATGGTTAGGATCATGGGCACAGAAATGTTCTGTAGCATGTATTTGATGGAATTTAAAGAAGTCGATAGCCGGAACCACATGAAACTAAAGTTTTAGGCCAAGCCTTATCAACAGTCAGCAATTCGTTTGGGAATGTAACATTAGTTTGCACTCTCTTCTGGAGAAATCTCAATGTCATAGTAGCGAACCAATTCTAAGCCTTGTCTGTATTTCTTATGTAACCACCCTGTACGTTGTATACAAATTGAGCAAGCGAAAATTTCTATTCGACTATGTCCTCACCCTAGTTCTACATTGTAATATATATATATATATATATATATATATATATATATATATATATATATATATAAAGTATTGTCTATAAAAATAATTGTAAGTTAATAACAAAATCGATGCATTGAATAGGTAGTCAAGTGGTCAGTGTTATAAAAATGCAGCTGTGTGAACTTGTGTTGACATACATCTACTCAAGACAATCAGTGAAAAATCCAAACCACCAATGGTGTCAGATAATCAATTAACCGGACAAAACTAGAACATTCTTTAGCTTAGCTGTGTTGAGGAACTTTACAATCAAATATAACCTTTGCTTAATTTCAGTTGTTCAGATAATCTACCTTAGAAAATAATAACTCAGAAATCCCATTATTGTAACTAACATCTTTATTTATGTTTTTCCTGTTACTCATACTTAATCATCATCTCTAAAACTCAGTAACTACCAAATCATGATACGAGAATATACACAAAGTAACTGAAAATGATTCCATAGAACGTTAGTCAACTTACAATTGTTTCCCAACATAGAAGCAGATACAAAAAACTACATTTCTAATCCTATCTAATAAGTTACATAGATTGGTCTAGTACAATGAAGACTGATTAAATAATGAAAGAATCATCTGATGTGATACTGTCATATCTCTTATATTTAAAACGTAATAATTGAATGAAAATTTTCCATTGATAAATCATTATAAGATACACTCTGTAGCCGTATTCACTGTAATTTATTTTGTAAAGATTTTGTATAGTTCGAAGTGTTAGTTTTTTCCACTAATAACTGATAAATTTGAGGGTGACTAAATGCGACTATCTGATGCTCAATGAAACTCAAGTTGATGTCATTTTGCGATTAAGACGGTTTTTATTCATGGTATTCAGTGTTTGCCATTCACATTTGTCTTTGTTTATTTGTTTGCGTCTCTTATTATAATATCTTTTACGCTAATTATTGTCGAAGATTGTTGTCAGAAAAAAAGGTAGGGAAATAAATCTTTTTTGTCTTCTTTTTTTCGTCTAGTGCTGTGCGCAGTTGGTCGTCTGTTCAAATTACTTCTTTCAGATCTACATACATTCATCCCTGACGAAGTGTTATGGTAGGTATATCATTTATTGTTATATGAATACTATTTATCATGATTGATAAAAATTCCAATTAGTCATTTCACCTCAACAATCTTCTTTCTCTCTTTTCATATTTTTTCTAGTCTAATCTACAGAACATTACTTCTTCTTTGTATTCATCCATTCTATGATACTGTACGCCGGTCAAATCTTGATAGTATTATCGAATTACTAAGAACTTCTAATGAAGAACATCGTTATCAACTTACTATCGGATTTTTAAAACATCTGCATATCCTTCTTATAAATTATCCGAATATCTTGCAGTCCACATCATCATCTAGTCTATTAGTTCTAGGTTCAAGATTGGTTGCTGAACACCTTTGCTTACAGATATGTGATTTTGTTGGAATTAATGTTTGGGATAATGTTGTTTATCCGAATTCCGAACTACAAACTACTAAACAACCAACTGGTCGTAATAAATGTACTGGTTCCTTTTTATGTAAACTTATTAACGTTCTGGTTTTACCATCATCTTCTACAGTATCCAAATGTCATCGAGTTTCTGAACAGAACACCGATGCTTCTTCCCCATTCTGCATGCGTTACTTATTTGATGTGTACATTTTGAGCGTATTTTGCACCAGTCACCCTTGTATTCGTAAGTATATTTTTTCATGGAATTATTTATTGCTTCTACTTATATTGTGCATTTTGTTTCACCAAAACGGAGAATATGGCACTTTTTAACTCGTTTATTTAGACACTTCTATAAAGCATTACTTTTGTAATGTCAATAGTGAAATAGATCTTCCTCCATGTCAACTAGTTTACATATTGAACATTTATACATTCACATACTAGGCTTCTGTTATATCTTAATTAGAATAAGAAATTCTGTAAACCGGACTCAACAACACAAAATACCCTCAACAAAAATATGCAGTGTTTCCCACAGTTACTCTTTAACCCAGACAAAATGTTTTACTGCAGCTGTGGTCGAATATATGAGATTGAAGTACATGGGTATTTAAAGAAAATGCTGAAGCATCTTTGGGATTTAGTCAAAAAGGTTGAGAGTTCCAGGGTTCTGGATTAAAGATTTAAATTTTGAAGATCTCATTTTAGTTTAGTCTGACCGAGGTTCTGGGGGAACATCACCTCCCCCAATATTTATATGGTGACTGAAAGTTCTAGATTAAGAGGTTTACTCTATCTAAACCTCCCGTTTACTACATTTTAATGTTTTGTTGTAGTGAATGTTTCTGGTAATGACTGTATTCTATCATTTGGATTGTTTTAATATTATATGGAGGTTACACTTCCAAATTATTCATAAATACACAGTTTTTATATCTTGATGTTGTCATCCAGTCGATGTTGATGTATTTTCAAACAAACCTATTTCTTTACCATTCTTTCAGTTGATGTCAGGCCTATGCTATGGGAACAATTACAGTCAAAACTCAAGTTTCCTAGATTAATAAATGAAAACTATAGTAATTTATCGGGAATCACTGACAACTGGTCGAAAATTGTTGAATATTTTATGAAACAACCGTACATAATTCCAGTTAGTGATTAATTTATTTTGTAAAATCCAACTAATGCTTCACACGTTTGTTTGATGAGTTGGTTAATTAAATACTTGTTAAAGCTCATTCAAATAATAATAATAATAATGAGCATTGCAAATTTAATCGTAATTTCGGTGAGACTATAATTTATGGACGACCTTTGAGCGACGCTAAAGTGACCTTGAGAATGTCCACATACTAACTAGGACTAAATGAGACTTATGAACCAGTGTAGGGAATTAGAATTACGATTTACAGTTGATGGTTAGGGTTAGGAATTCGATTTAGGGTTTTCACCATGAACTGACATAAGGTAAAATGCCAAAATGTTATTTAGCCAAATGAATGGATGAATTTCGCGCCAAAATCCAATACCTGTTATCCTAAATCTGATCTGTCCGTCCATAACTTATAGCTTCGCCATGCTTTTCTGGACTACTTGTAATCGTAAGTAGAAAATTATATCTGTAAAAATCTTAGCGATAAATATTTAGATAACTTCAACATTTCGATCACTAATCTGGCTGGAACTTCTCTAACTATTGTAAAAACAGTTTTTTCACATTTAGACGAAAGTTTTTCTGTTGTTTCTCACAATATTTGCATAAAAACTTTCTGAACTATCAATTACGATCTGGAAATACAATAAAATTTCTAGTTTTTTCCAATATTTATGTGATAAAACATTTGCCTATTACTCAGAATATCGGTAATGTGATTTAGTTTAAGGTTTATTTCAAGTAAAGAAAAATGTCAGGAAAATCCAGAAAATTCCTCGAAAGAAGCAAAAAGGGACCCTTAAAACGCTGAGAAGTATCTTATTCAATCGGCATTCAATGGTTGTTTTGCCAGAAATATCTAGAAAGTGAAATTTTACATGTTACGTTTTTGATTGGATGATTAGCTATAATGCTACTATGTTTAGCAGCGTTCCAGAACTTTCCGGAAGCCCAAGGCCATCTAAAATGCTATAAATACCCTAGATTTTCTGTATATAAACGAACCTTGGAGTAAAGCGTTCTTTTCATATTTCGCACCTATTCTGTCGTGTTCAAATCACTGTGTAGGTTTAGTCTGAGGGTTATTAGAAGAGCTTAGGAAACCGAATCAGGCATTCATTTAGATTTATCAAAAAATGAGATGCGTCTTTACTGATTCGCATTTTGGGTAGAATCTGCATCTCTAGAGCAATAAGCTTTCCACATGATATTCCTTTTTATCCTATATCATTTTTATTGGATGACTTATTTAGTAATCAAAGTTAAGTAGGTTAATTACTCTAAATAAAGCCACCCCACAAAAGACTCAACTATAAGGCTAGTGCTATCTTTTATTTCATTCATGAGCGAATTAAATCTCACCCCATTACATAATCCAGTGGCTATTTGGACTCAGTAACCAAGTGGATAACGTGATAGTGTTTGAAGCAAATGGTACAGGGTTCTAATCCCAAATTGAACATCAACTCTAAGATACAGGTACATCCAGCTGACCAGTCCAAATAGGACAAAGACCGCCTCTTGGATTCCACTACTAGCCACTATTCAACTTTGTTTATATTATGTATTTCTTTTTGAATTTTGTGCAAAAAACTGAAAGTCGCTTTCCTAAATATTGTGTCGATTAGTTATGCATAGATTGTTTTATATTTTGATGTGCTGTTATGCTTATACTTGTTTAAATTTTCTAGGCAGATCGATATGCACTTCAACGACTAGTCAAATGGTCACCTATTAGTATCGGTCAAAATTTGATTGAAAAAATATATTTGAATTTTTGTTCCGAGTCATTTACCTCAATTAGTGAAAGAGATGTTCAAATTATGCTGACACCAGAAGGTCAACTTTTCAATCATGAACTTCTTGAAAGGTATCTTCATCTCTGTATCCATGTGTATAGAATCATAAATGATTACCTATACCATCCCCTGTCTATGCTTATTCTTATAAAAATTTTACGTAAAACTCTGAACTAACAAGCAAATTTATGTTTTGTCTGTAAGGGATTGTGGAGATTGTTGAGTTTCATTGAAATCACGAACCGATCTAAGCTTCAAGAGGAGATTTCTGGAGTCCTAATTAGAAATCGTGATCAGTAGAGATAAACCGTGTAAGATGTGAAGTAGTTACCCACCAAAGCCAATGATTGATGGTTGCACAATGTTAGATGCCGAATCAGTGGTCTGGAGGTTAAGCGTTTTCCTGCGAGCCTGGAGGTCCTGAGTTTGATTCCCTCGTGCAAGGCCTTGGATGCACAGTTGAGGATTTCCGTACTGGGATGTAATGGCCGTCCAGCGCTTCTAGGTTTTAAGTGATCTAGCTTAAACCGGCTCATGATTTCAGTGAAATATAACTTTGTGCTTCATTGATTTTGAAAGTCTTAGTTTGTTTTAATTATTCATCTTAACTTTGATTGGTTGAGCAAATGTAACTCAGTGATCGGGTACAGCACATTTTCTGTACGATCTAGTAATACTATCCTACTGTCTATTACTTAAGTAAATAGAAAAAGATTTCAATCTTGTAAATTTACTGTTAAATTTCGAATGCTTTAGACATACATTCACTGTTTTGAATTTTGATTTAGACTACTTAACCGGAATCTATAATTATCAATTTTATATTCAGTTGTTTTTAGTAACCATATTTTTCCGCTTCCCTACATGCTCGTCGATCATTCGTGAATATTTAATGACCTGAGATCTGACTTCAGGTAGATCGTTTGGTACTTATGTCGAAATATAAATATCCCCAGTCCTTGTATATAATTATCCACTTAACTCGCGTTGGTGAATAATGGAATTAAATAAGTCAAATACGAGGATGAAGTTTTGAATATGTGTATTTTGTACAGTCGTTGATCGGAAAGCGAAGCCAAACAAAATGGCGCGCAGTGGAGAAGGCGAGTGAGCCAACTCCATTTAACCAAACGTGAATAGATATTTATAATCAGACTAAAATAAGTTGCAAACATGTGATGAGTAAGATAAGAAATGCATACACATACGCTTACGTAAAAATAGTCAAGGTTGATAAGCGAATGAGTGACAGGGTAAAAGTGTGGCTTGAGACGAATGAATAGATGGATCTGTTCAGAGGCTAGAATAAACTGTGTGGGCTTTACATAGCATCCGACACTACGAATGCACCAATCCTGTATTATTTCTTCATCGGTTTTATAGGGTAACCTCGTTTTACTTATTTAGTTAAACACAAACACGTACAAGGAGAAACCATATATATATATATATATATGCGCCACACAAATCATTCGATTTGTATGCAGACTGGAATACTACTCGGGCGCTCAAACCGAAGTAGGTAGTTTTCTTAGGACGCCACTCCTCGAGCCATCTATCTAGGGGTCTACTATACGAGGCAGTGGAGTAACGTAGGGAGATCCAGTCTCACGGTAGCCGATGACCAACAATAGGTCCATACGTCATTCGTTCCTTTTGTACCCTGTAGTCTATGTGCACCATTGGTTTGGAATTAGGGTTTTCCAACCCACATTGGTGGATCTTCTGTAACCACCGATCTGGTCAAAATGCTGGACATTCGCTTTTCGTCCTCTCAATTTTGTAAACAGCACTCCCGCCCCGAGAAGGCAGTGAGTAGGACTTCCCTGACAATCGTTCTATTCGTCTGGCGATGTGGGAGCATTTCAAGGGGGAGCTCGGGCTGTCCTCACCCTTGGCCGTATCAGGGTATTTTGGGGCAGTATAAACATTAAAAGCAACCGAATAAATTACTTTCAATTAATTTAAAATGATTAAATTAGTTACACACTTATGTCTATTTTTGCTAATTTTTAGTCTACCAAAATATGAAACTTCTTGGGTTAATGTTAAACGTGAAAGTAAATTATATTCTTATGATTTACAAATGGATATTTTATCAGCTCAATTAGAGAAAGTGCAAGAACATCATAAACACCATACAGAATGTAATAATGATACTACTCCAATTCTGGATAAATTAACCGGTCAGTTAACTGAAAAACAATTAGAAGTTGTTCGTAGTGAATTGAATAAAGAAAATGAAATACGAAAAGTTATTCAATCGGTAAGCTATCTCCTTTCCTTTTTTTGTGTTCCATAAGTGAAACTAACTATTCATGTTTAATAAAATGATGATTCGACTAATTAAGCACCCTAAAGTCGTTTTTTAGCGAACAATTTATGTATTTGGGATTTGTTTGATATTTTTTCGGTTTATGAAGCTTTAGCATATTTGCCCTGTTAAAAATTCCCTTAGATATTATATCGTTACAGAATCAGAAGCTGTCATCCGCATAAATTTTGTCATATACCACATTGTTTACTGCTAGATTTACTCCATTTACTCTTAAATCTCACCATATTTGGTTCATACAACCTATCATTACTTCAATCTCTGTTATATTCATTATGTGATTAAGAAAATTCATCAAATAATCAAGTTGACTTCGTTCAATTTCCCAATTTTAAAGAAATTTCTCTGTACAAAAATCCCTTCATAAATCAATAATTATTTTTTCACCTCTGTTAATAGTACATGTGTTATACTGTATTGTGTATTTTTTTGATAAGAGTATAGTGTTAAACTGTTTTTCTTTTCAGCTTGATTTAAGAGCAAAACACATGTGTGATATACTCATTAATACATTAAATGTATTTATTTGGCAACCGAATAATCATTCATTACCTATTTATTATCAAGAAGCTGGACAGATTATTAAATATTTTTGTACTAAATTATCAATTCTATTTGTTAAGTTACTGTCAAACCCATTAATTTCACCTTATATAATACGAGCTCATAATAAATTTCTTGAAGCAATTATGTGTAGTAAATTCACTATTCAAGAATGGGATTCCAGTTTTAATCATGAACTGCAGACTTATATACCTATGATCTACTGGTGGTCTATACGAATTTTAAGACCAGTTAGATTGATGCATTTCAATCATAGTCTGTGTAGTTTACTATTGTCGAAATACTCTACGACAAAAACATTCGACCAGTCGGATCAGTTCATAACCAAACAAGCTGTAGAAGATTCTATTTCATTAACAATGTGTTGGTCATCTCAATCTATAGGAGATCATACAAAAAGGATATTCAGTCTACTTTGTGATAAGGTAAATCAAACAAGTAAAGTTGTGAATAAAATTTTTTTCCTTAAATTACAGTTTCGGTATGTCTTTTTGTTCTGGCAGTAATTTGAAGTGTATATACTGTTATAAATAAGGAGTTTATTAAATAAATAAATTTTTGGTTGTTAAATAGTAAATTATTTTGTGGCAACTCAAGTAAAATGTTGATACTTGGTTTGTTTCCTGGGATCTATTTATGGACTGTTACTATATATATACTTATTGTATAAACGCTGATTAGATTGCATATATTTATGTTCCTCTTATTATAAGCCTTATTTTGATTTATAGACTATTACTGTTCGAACTACTACTATGTTATATCCAATTTATTAATTACAGTTCCCCATAATCACAGCCACTTTTTAGCTTGATCTTGTACAATCCTTATTTTCTTATTTTGTGGTATATTGTGGTCTGGTTTGCTTGTATTATAAACCAAGTATGTTTGAAATAAATTATTCGCATAGTGGAGGCTGATGTTGGTGTTCTGGACTCAACAGACAGAGCTAAGCAGAAAAAGGGCACTAGGCTGCTCGTGCCGGTCGATGCGTCATTGTTGTGACACAGTGCTAAGATCGTATAAGTCGTATTCCGATTGGTGAGTAACTCACGTGATAATTAGCTGGGCTAAAAGTCAAAACAATAACTGTTATCTCTGAGCTGGTTGACTTCAAAAGTCTCATATTCTTTCTAGAACTTCGCCTACTCATTGTTTTTATTAAAATGTTTTGGTGAAGGCTCTGTACAATTCGTAAGTAAATCTCATTACAAATCGTTGATAAATTGATAAAACTGAATTGCCGTTTTGATCCTACTTAACAAATTATCACTATTCACACCTAATGTTGCATTAGATTGTCAGCTAAACTTTTACCAGTCAATAAATTCATGCGAAATATTTCATATTGTTATATCACAATTAATTACCACATTTTTTCTTTCGCTCTAAAAATACTTTATCATTTTCTCAGGTACCAATCCATAATTTGAATACATCTTTATTATTGTCATTTTTGTCTCCAACTATTGATCATGCATTTCTACATTCCTCCTGGATTCATACATTGCCTGAAGATTTTCTATCAACAAAGTTTTCACAAAAATTAGACGATCAACACTCGATGGTAATCGATTGGATGAATGCTGATTTAATCAAAGTTTTACTGAAATCATTTGAGAGACATTTTCAAATTGTTGCTGATAATGATGAACATTATCAAAAGAATTGTGCAATACAATGTGATAGCGTTCTACATATTCTCCCATTAGATTGTTTTCTCAAAGTAAGAATAGCCTTTTTTTCATTCGATTATTATCTGTCAATAAAAAAAACATTCTGATAATTAATGATTGTTAGTTATGTCCATAACTGGTCGATTAAACCGTTGCTTAAATGCCCACCACATCATTCTGATCCGATGTGTCTGTAGGTTATCCATTTTGCATGTGACCTGCCAAATGAAGGACATTATTATTCTATCATATTAGTGTGATTGCAACTCTTTTTTTATTCATTTCGATAAGACACGCAATACTGATCGAAACAGATAAAGTTTGGAGCCAGGTTGTCCTTGTTTTAACTATAGCTTTCACATAGACACTGGTTGGGCCACGTGTTACGTATGCCCGAACACCGATTACCATAACGTGCAATGCTAACCGGTATTGGAGATGGTTGGAAGAAAGTTAGGGGCGGCCAAACCAAAACATGGCATCAGTGCTTGAAGTCACTAACTTTTAGTCTGAGCCATGTTGGGAGATGCAGACTACTTGGTTGGGGTCCGCGTGACTTTCGTAACCAGTGGTTGGAGACTCTTGGTGACATGGCTCAGAATCGGCCACAATGGCGTCGGTGTATACACTCTCTTTCTTCCCTTAAACTAAGAGATTAAAATCGCTTCATATCTTTCTTCCTGTACTATATCCTTATTGCAATCTTTCTTTTATATATTACCACCTCTGAATTAACTATTTTTATGAATCCGGTGTTCATCTTGTTGTGTTAATGAGGTATGGCAACTTGGACCGATGTATATATGTGCCTGGTCCTACGTTGTAGCTGACTGACTGGGTCGCGTTCACAGTTCTAATAGAATATCTGTTGGACAAATTAAGTCCTACATGATTACTTTTTTACCGTTCGCTTCCCTAAAACGATCTTAACTGATGCGAACAATGAACCTCTTTTTGTTCTTACTGTGCATTTTAAATTAATCTAAGAAAAGGCAACATTATCATCGTCTTGAAGAAAGAAGTTTCCTGTAGCGGTTCACTATTGTACTGTAGTTTTGTTTAGTAGTTTGTAGAATTAAATACGAAGTGGCTTCTGTTATAAAAAATACTTGTTTGTAATCATATAGTAATTTTACTCAGTATGTACGTTGTTATTCAAGCTAGTTTATATGGTAAAGTGGTAGTAGTAGTAGTAGTAGTAGTAGTAGTAGTATGTTTCGTGGTTGCTTTTGGTTTACACAATTTATACTTCTTTTTGAACTTGATAACTAATCTATCATACAGCGAATAATCAAAAACACATAGCTTATTGATGTTCAACTCACTTAGTACAGAGTTGTTTACTCGGTCTTAAGCCATAATTTATGTACGAATCCTAACAATACCACTACCCGACTGCCAAAAACCGAAATAAATAGGGTGTGACTCGAACCTATGAACTAGTGGTTGGAAGTCAAGTACCTTAACCACTAAGTCAATTGAACTAAACAGTTGGCAATGTTATTTGTAGTTAGACTGGTCGATTAATAGCTACGTTCACGCCCCAACATAGATCGGACTTAATATTTTTACTGACATCACAAAATTAATTATTTTTTAACATGAGACTCGATTTTAGTCACAGTTATCTAAAAATCCTTTTCCTCTATCATTTCGTTGTACCGACATTTTTTAATTAAAATGATCGGAATTAATTTTCCTAGTTTCTTTTAACGATGATATACTTCACAATATCTTCCTTCTCTTTTGTCAAAATTGATCGTCCAATGATGATTTTATTATTTACGATAAAGTTTTTGCGCCAATTAGCTGATGGTTGTTCGCGAGATTCTGCCAATGATGAAGATTCAAACGACTTGAATGAAAATGATTTGTCGGATGAAGTTTCATTCAATGATTCGTTGAATACTGATGATTTGGCCTCACGTAAATCGATTGCATTCACTGCTACAAGTTTGATGATGTTAATTACTGATTTATTTGTACATTATGTGCATAGATTGGAACATGATGAAGAGTTCATTGGTAAATTAGCCAATCCAATAGTTTCCACTCTACTAAATAGTTTAGTATCGGAATCTGAGCAGGCGAGAGAGATTTCAGCTCGTGTAAGTATTAATTTTCAAATATTTGGTTTTATCAGTCCTTTTAGTGGGCAGAATATTTGATTAAAACCCTTGTTAGTCAAAATATTCCATCTGTTTTCACTTTTTACCGTTACTATTGTTCATTACTGTTAGGTTAGTATACTGTTAAACAGGTTATAGCAAAGCAGTATTGTATAATCTGCCTAGCAGCACTAATGTATTTAAGCAGAATATTTTTCTACCCATAGTAAAACTTGAATTAGGTCGACAAATTAAATTTAGCATATATCGGTAACGAAATACAAGTACATATGTCAAGTTTTAAGTTAGATTTATTATATTCTGGTTAGAAATATCATTCGAATACTCAAAACAAAGTAGAACGAAGTTAGAACCTATTGTCTAATAATCTTCCAATCCATTAACTGGTCATTTTCTGACTCAGAATGCAAATTTTTCAAACTACCGTTAGAAAGCATATTCCACACAGTTGATTTACACTTTTGTAAAACTCTTACACACGTATATTCTTTGTCATTTATTCTATTTTTTCAGTGTCTTTACAAGCTGGTCGAACGAATACCTCGTGTAATTGAACTAATTAGACTACAGGAAAAATCATCCACACCTGACTCAAAATCTATTCAAGATTCTACTGAGCCTACAGATATCGATATCACATTGGTTGATAAGAATTTAACAGAATCTAATCTCAAGGATGAAGCGAATTTCGATTATGGTGAGACTGTCATCCCACCTGAAAAATCTGGTGATGGTAAACCCAGAAAAAAATTGAATAAAAATCAAAGACGTAAACAGAAGTTAACTCAGTTAGTTGCAGCTGCTGCGGAAAAGCATCAAGTCACTGAGCAAATGTGTACTAAACCATATTCTTCTCCAGCTGATTGGCCAAGATTATCCATTTGGTCTTTTGTACAGGTTCGTATTTGGATCATTCGTAGCGATCGATCAACTCATATAGCTCAGTTAGCTGAACAGTAAGTAGGTTGATGTATTTCTTTCTTTTAAAAATGAAAATTATCGATAAGTTTGTGATTTTCCATCAAAAGAAGTAATAATCATAAACTCATTAATTAATAACTAAAAAACATGCAACAGAGACGGCAACAACTTCACATAACACTATAGAAGCATGTGTTCTCGATAGACTAAACAGACGATATTCCAACATTCGTCAGTAAAGTTCATTATTCATAGGTGTTCCACAAACCTTTTGTGATTCCTGTCTTTCAAATTTCTTGTTTCAATATGCCTTTCTCCCCTTTTCTCAGACACACGTTCACTTTTTCATCTTAATCACAGTATTCCTGCAAAACACTTTTTGAATTGTCGTATGAAAGACGAATAAACAAAGTTTTGACTTGTTAACATCCCATTTTCCTCTCTCTTTGTATTTTTTAAACATCACTGTGAATCACTAAAATTTAAATCATGATAAAATTTTCAAGCTTCTCTAGTCAAATAAATCGATGTTAGGTGGTTGGAAGTATTCGGGATGCGACCCTAAATCTAGTCTTCATACTAATTGAAACTTGTCAGCAAGGTTTCTCTGTTATCTTGAAAAATCTGTGTTCCCTGTAGGATTCGAACCAATGTCCTCCAGCTCCAAAGTCTACAACATTGTCATTGAACTATTTAAACCGTGACTGACCTTATGTAAGACTAAAATATTTACATCATATTTTGATCTCTGAGTGGCGATTGATATCTTGTTTATCTAGTTGGTACGTTTCTATCAACTCTAAGGAATATACAAACATGACGTAGGTCACTACTCCGTGACCAATCAGTATTGCGTAACTTTCATAAATTTAATCTAATAATCGATTATTATTCGATTTTCCAGAGAACATTTAGAATTACTGTCATTTGAAACATACCATGTCACCACTCTAATAACTCAATTATGTCATATCTCTGATGACGGCATTTGATTATGAGTTTCTAAGTCCCACAAGGATTTGAACTGATTCCCTTAAGAGTCCAGATAAACTTTGGTGATAAGTGTCAACTAACACACAAAACCTAAGCCTACGAATTCCTGTCGATTGCTTTGAGCCAATTTAGATGAATCTTATATTCACCATAGGATATCTGTTTTGTAAGTTTCGATCACATGGAAGTGGTTGTAAATCAACTTTGCTGGAAAAGATTGAGAATTAAGTTTATTTTCATGGTTGAAAAACCGACTGCGAAGCGTCACTAGTATCTAAGTTCTCCAATGTACATGACAATAAGTGAATTCCCGTTTGATTATTTTAATATTCATTCTCACAAGTAGATTTTCGATGCCAACTTGAACCAATACACATTTGTACCCGACGCTAGATCGATTATGACTGGCTAAGAATCAATATATCTCTAAATTTATTTGTGTAAGATGCAGTAAACCAATCACTCGTAACTTTCGAGTAAATTTTCAACTAAAAAGTGGTAAATTTCTATTGTGGTGGACTTCATTTACTTTAATGTCCTTGTATGTGTATGGATCAGCAACTAAGTAAATAGCCTGTACGCTAAAACAAATATATCACACATGTGTATTGGTTTATATTAGTCAGTTAGACATTTACAACGTAGAACTTGATAGGCATGTACATAGGTTCAAGTTGCCATACCCCATTAGTACAGAAAGGTAAAATTGTTAGTTCAAATCCCAGAATAGTAGAGTTAGTAACAGTACGAGTGGTGATAGAAAAGATAATAAATGTATGGAATTTTTAAAAAAAACTGACAGCTAATTAACGAAATGATTACGTTTAAAAAATATTACTTCTTTTCTTTATTTAGAATATGGCATTCACTTCAGTTAGATACAAAATGTGAAAATACAAAGTTATTTAATACAAAAATACAAAACGGTATAAGAGCACTTTTGGAAAAACCAAATGATACTGATCTGTTGAATCCAATGCTCCTTGCTCAACGTCTTCTATTGGAAGCAACTCGTCCTAATGTTTCAGTTCAGTTAGGCATAGCTGATGCATTTGCTTTATGCCTTCTTGATCGTAATAATGATGAAATTAGTGTGGCTTTAGATATGTTGGTACATATGTATCATGTCATGTTACATGTAAGTTTCTTTTTTTAAAGCTAACTCTACTGAATTTTTTATTATTCATTTTGTTCTTCTGTGATATTATGTTGTAAGTAGCCAGTTAAATATATATATGTATATATATATATATATATATATATATATATATATATATAATAGCTCTTAGCTTCGATTCTTTGAGCAGTGGATACGCTGGTCAATTCAAGAGGGAATCATAGTTTATAAAATTTATTCAAGTAAACAAAATAAGATTATACCAATCGAACCAACTATCCCTAATACTATCATGAAAATGCCCATCGAAATAGTAAACATTTCAAAATCATTCTAAGCAGAAACACAACTGATTAACAACCACACATTTGTTTTTGTTACTAAACGAACTTAACCTTAATTATTTGCATTCAAAATTATGAATAAAATATTCATGAACTGATTTCATGTATTATTACCGTCTACTTTTCTTTTATCGTTTACGTTTTATTTAATTCTTGTTAGAATTCCCACTCGACACTTTTTTACAAATAATTTTTATATTATTGTTTCATTGTTTCAACAGCGTGATCCTGCTGTTCACGATAGTATGGGTCGTATACTTTGTCCTGAGTCACCTGACAGATGGCGTGAGCGCATTGGTCTTGCCATGATCTTGACACGACTATCTGATGCACCTGCTGTCTCATCACCATCATCTACATCACAAATATTATTTAGGCAAAGTTTATTGATTGGTAGTAATGAAGAAAAAAGTGAAGATAATATCAATCCTAACGGTTTCGATACGGAAAATTTCTCTTCTACTAGTGATGATATGTCAAACCAATCACCAATGTGGTTGCTAAATATGTTCCGTTTTCTTGTTAGTGATGGATTGAATGATCGTAATACAGCAGTACAATCGGAAATGCTTCAAGCAGGTTTACGTGCTGTCCGTAATTTTGGAAAGGTTTGTGTTTATTAATTTCCATATTTATATGTGTGTATGTGTATAATTCGGGATACTTAATTCACTAAATTATTTTCTTCTGCTCTCGCTTTCCCGTACTTTTCAATGTTAAATCATATTTAGATTTTTCTTACGCAAAATTATCTCATTCTGAAAAGACAAACAACATTCTAAGGTGACAATTCTGTTGTTTTATTTTAACATTATTGTCAAGACTGTGATCATATAAGATGTTAACTGATTTGTTATAATATTTCAACTAGTGTACGGAATAAATCAAATATGAAAACTTGTATTTTATTAACTAGGTATTTAAGTTTTTGGTGCAAGCCATCGAAGTAGATATATAGATGCTGAAAACAATTTTCGTTTTTCAGTCGTCCAATATAAAGTATATGAATTATGACTGACTAGTGAGCATTACTCGAAGTATGTTGAAGGTATGTAGATCTACACATTGTTTTTCTTACCTTCAACCGTATAAAAATACATTATTTCTTACTTAAACCGATACTTATATTCACTAGTTCATGCATTCTTTTTTGCAATTTCGAACATGTAATCCTCAGATATTGAGTGAACTGTATCCTCATTCACTGAAAAATTCGATAAAGCGCATAACATTATTCAAAAGACTTAGATTCAGTCTAATTAATTACATTTAGTAAAGTTAACCTGAATTCCATTTTCTCAGACGATATAAATAAAAATAATATATTTGTAATATCCCAATGAGTAGAAAATTGGATTTTCTGACGTTTCGTGACTTAGTGTAAGTCACTTCTTCAGAGAATAAATAACCAAATTAAAATTAATCCAAGTTTAAATAGTACAACGGAACAATGCAAGAAGAAGTGACTTACAATAAGTCACGAAACGTCAGAAAATCCAATTTTCTACTCATTGGGATATTACAAATATATTATTTTTATTTATAACAATCAACCCAATGCTCAATTTATTCGAACTTATCAAATCAAACCTTGATAATGACACCTATATTCTCAGACGATAGTTTACATATTTCTTTAGTCACTGTATGTTCATTAGATATTTTAAATAAAGTTTATTTTCTTCTATTTGTTTACTTCTCTAGCAATATATTGGTCAAATTTTGCCAATACTTGAAAATTATGTAAATAAAGCTCCGAATGTCCCTGAATTAGACTCTGTTCGCCAATCTATACTCATTTTAACTGGTTCGCTATCTCAACATTTAGATACTGCTGATCCAAGAGTTGGAACTATTTTTAATCGTTTGTTGAATACATTGAGTTTTCCATCAGATTTAGTAAGTAAATTAATTTTGTGTTATGTGATTTAACATCTTGTGTGCTAGAAATAATTTTTTTGTGTAAAATGTGTTTAAACTGAAAAAAAAGTAATTTATTAATTTCTTTTTACTAAGCATTTAAATAACGGAGATTTGTAGCTCAGAATGGTGACTTTGATTGTGCTGTGTTCTCTTAACTGGGTATTTTAATCCAAAAGCTTTCGTTGTCGTTATAGGCGACATCAACAACTGTTGCTTCACAACGCTAATAATAGTAGTAGGTGAAAATATTCAGAATTTGTGACTTTGTGAAAAGCAATACTAAATCATCTGGACACACATCAGTCGAGTAGAACAACTAAACACCAGACCAGATGTTATCTAAATACGCTAGATAAGAGTGTTAGCGGGACATAGACTAGATTAAAGCATGCTCAATGCATGATTGCTTTGGTGCACGCTGATTGGCTGATTCTTATCCAATCAGCACTAGTCGATAGTCGGAGAATATTCTGGAATCTTCTTATGTAAAAACTATAAATATACCGACGTTTTCCCCTATTGTGCTTCCTACTGGCTTCTGACTTGCTATTTGGAATATAATCTCTTTCCTGTTCAACCGTGTTTTGATTTGGGGACTTGTCGAGTGAATCGGTGTCCGAGAATACTAAGCAATAGGAATAGCTGGGTCTTAACCGTAAGAAATCAGAGTTATAACAGTGGCGACGGGGAAAAACTAAAGAAAAATGGCGATTTCTTTAGAACAGTTGCGGTTAATATTACAGCACCAGCAGAAGTTGTTAGCCTTGCAACAACAACTATTGAACACACTTTTCACTCGACCAGAAAATAAGAAATCTGTTTATGATGCAGTAACAGACATTTCAGAAGCATATCTAGTGGAGGGTTCAAATCCCTTTATACCTGAATCAGAACGTAATATTTGTAACGTTTCCGGCTCACAGCAAGAAAATCCTGTGCTGAATGCTCATAAAGTTGTGGCAATACGAGATTATCAAGAGTCAGACTCTGTAGATGAAGCCCGGAGTCCAGAATTGAATGAAGCACTACTGGTCCTATCTAGCTCTGAAAATAACTTTCAGCTAGAACAAATTTATGGTCCACGTGATATTAGCCGAAAAAGCTATGGGGACTCGTATTCAGAAAATAACTGCAGTGACACGATGAACCCAAATATACTGAATGTTACTCAAAATCATTGTGAGACAGAAACTCATATTGAATCAGCTTATCCGATTTCTAATGACAATGTATCAGACATGGGTTCTCAGAACAATGCATGTTATTTTGATGAAATTTCTCATAAAAATCAGGAAAATATATCAGCTGAGTCAAATTATGGTCAAAAGTCTAATTTAATTTTGTTAGATGATGATTTCCGTAATGATCCATTATCCACTGATGAAATTCCTAATGGATTTGAAAGTAATGCTTCAGAAGAATTAAACCCTGACCTCAACTCAAAGGTCGTTCATTATCATCTAGTCGTTTCTAGTGGATCCAACATTCAATGCGAGAAACGTCGTTTAAATAAAGTCCTATTATTTGTAACTTGGAGATATAAGGATCCGACATTGTTTCGCGGAGGAGGAGAATGTTGGAGAATTAAAAGTTATGCATACTTTTTTTTAAGAAAAATCAAAACGCCGGGAACAGACATGTCAGTCTCTGTGCAAGGAAAAAGTGATAATTCTTCATTGCCTAGACGATGGACTAATCGAAAGCACAAGCCAGTCACTCAGTCGCAGTTGGACCCTAGCACCAGATCCTACGAATCTGCTCACAGGGGAGGTGTTAGCGGGACATAGACTAGATTAAAGCATGCTCAATGCATGATTGCTTTGGTGCACGCTGATTGGCTGATTCTTATCCAATCAGCACTAGTCGATAGTCGGAGAATATTCTGGAATCTTCTTATGTAAAAACTATAAATATACCGACGTTTTCCCCTATTGTGCTTCCTACTGGCTTCTGACTTGCTATTTGGAATATAATCTCTTTCCTGTTCAACCGTGTTTTGATTTGGGGACTTGTCGAGTGAATCGGTGTCCGAGAATACTAAGCAATAGGAATAGCTGGGTCATAACCGTAAGAAGAAGCAGGATTATAACAAAGAGATTCATTCGTTTAGTATCGAATTCATTTTAAGTGTACTTGTATTTTTTTCAACTCAAAAACACTAACTATTGAGATTATGCGATCTCATTTAATTACTTTCTTAGCTGATGAGAATTCAACTGATTTTTTAAAACACATCTACCTTAATTTAAAATCTTGTGATTAACCGAAAACTTTTATTTTATCTTTAATATCATGCCTATATTCCTTTATAATTATTCATTAACATATATTTCTGTCCTCGGATACTACCTGGGCGCCCAGATTAAAACAAATTTTTTTCTTATGAAGGTCGCTCTTTAGGCCTTCTACATAACGGCCCAATCCGCAAGTCTGTGGGGCGACGTCATATGATGAAGTTCCATGGAAAAAGCTGAACAGAATGGACTCGTACGCCGTTCGCTACCTTAGGATCCTGAAACTCATGCAAACCATTGGTTGAGAATCCGGGTTTTCGAACTCCTAGATGAACCCTCCATATCCACAGCTCAAGCGATAGATGTTCGATTTTCAGCTCTTTCGTAAAAAGTATTCTTGCTTCTAGAAAGTAATAAGTAAGAGCTCCCTAGTAGTAGCTATAAACACATTGCCACAGGAGAGGATTTTGAAAGAGAGAGAGAGAGAACGAACTCTCCCTACCTTCGGCCATACTAGGTTGTTTGGAAGCAAATGTTATCCACAATCTTATATGTCTATTTGTATGGCGAGTACATTTTCGGTGTTCCAGTTTTGTACCAGGTTTTATACGCATTAAATAAGAAAGAAAATAATTATTTTGATGTATATTTTGAATTTACGCATATTCTATTTAGGTTCAACAAGCTGTGGAAGACAGCTTAGCATCACTCATTGGTAAACTATCTGAAGAACAAACTGCAAAAACTATTAATAAGCTAATGTCTACTCTGTTAAGTAGTAATAATTATGCTGAACGTCATGGTGCAGCTCATGGAATTGCAGGAATTGCTCGAGGGTTAGGCATTACGTCATTAAAGCACCATGGAATTATTGATAAAATTATGCCAGCGTTGGATGATACTAAAGTGGCTAAACGTCGTGAAGGTAAGTTGTTCTCCTGGAAATAAATAGTCTAAAAAGCTAATAATTTCATTTGATTTTTTTTATTTTACTTCGACGTTAAAATAAAATTTGTATTTATATGACATGAAAACCGTTCGATTGAGTTATTAAACACGAATTGAAGTAACTTTCAATATTGCATCCTGTCAGTAAATAATCATTCGATATCGGTATATATTTAATCAGAGCGGTGGCTCAGTGGTTACCGTTATATCCGAACGAAGCCTATATATATATATAACTTAAACACCAGGTTACCAAATGCTTTTAACATTGCATTACACCTGTCAGAGTTAAGTGAAAAACAAGTTCCTGTTAGTTTCAGAAGTGATATTTTTGGTGACCACAAGTGTAAATAAAAAAGTTATTACTTACATTCATGATATCATAATTGAGTACTTATGAAAACGTCTAACAGCTATTTAGTTCTTTTTAATATATGGTAGTTATATTTTCGGATAAACTATTCAGTTTTGAGAATTCGAGTTAGTTTCAACTGTAATATGCTTCGTATCATTTATTTGATTCTATAATGTTTATACTTTCCTATGTAAAGCTTGAAGACTTTCTTCCGAAGAATATCCCTCTTTCTAAAATATTTTTTTAGGTGCATTAATGGCTGTTGAACGACTTTCTCTTGGAATGGGACGTCTTTTCGAACCATACGTTGTCCGTCTCATTACACCTCTATTGAATACATTTGGCGATACAAATCCTGGTGTAAGAGAAGTAAGTTCTATTTATTAAACTCATCTACTTAGCAATTCCTGAGGACAATGGTTTAAAAAAAATGGAAATTGAAATTTTAAACATTCTTGTAGTAACTTTTATCAGGTTTTCGCAATATTACAGACTACAATACTTCAATTATTCACCTTGACATAAACACAAAATGTATGTACATGACATAGATTTTTGCAAAAACGATCATTTCTTTTCAACTAAAATTTTCGTCATGAGCATGGACTTATTTTGTAGTCTTGCAAGATGGACAATTAAATTTAAGATGTAGTGAGATGGTAGTGAGTCATAAAATAACATTACTATACCTTGTAAACTCTTTCCTTTATTAGTCAGGATTGTAATCAGTAAAAAAGCTCTCGATTGGTTAAACAATTGACCGTTTAACAACGTGTTACTGTTAATCCCTTTGTTTATACGCAATACCTTGTTATCTGCACTTACTATTGTTAATTATACTGTTAATAGATCAGTACTCTTAATATTGTTTATACTATTCGTTCAGCCAATGATCGAGACACGAGTTTTTTTTCGTACATGGTTTGATCAAATAATTTAGATTATAAATAAAATGGGATTATTTCTGACGGGCAAAACATAATATACACTATGTCATAACTGTGTCAATCTAAACAGCTTATATATTCTTTTAATTATTCTTCATATGAAACGAAATCCAATTTATTTACGACATGAACATTTGTAAAATGGTATCTGAGCTGAATTCATATAGTAAGAATTAGTGGTGCCACATAAAACTGGCCATGTTGAGAGATATAAAGTATTTTTAATCATATATGTCGAAAAAGCAAGTCAAATAGAAATCGTGTTTCAGTACAACTCTTAAATCCTATGAGTTATCCGTGTTCAAAAACACTCATTTGTAATAGGACATCTGAAGTAATCTGCAAAACTATTTTAATCTCGTTATCTCATCCTTACGGCGCTTTAGCTGAATATATCCCCATAACTGTATAGTATCGTTCAGTACAATATCTATATTTCACTGAGTGCAAAACATCCAAATTAGAGTTTTCATTATATCAATTAATTCATTTAAGATGGTTAATCTATTTTTCCTCTCTGTGGTCTGTTTCTCTCTCTCACATACACATTCTATCAGGCCGCTTCAAATGCTGCACGAGCGGTTATGAGTAAATTAAGTGCACATGGTGTGAAATTAATATTACCAGCACTACTTAAAGCTATCGATGATCAACAGTCTTGGCGTACAAAAGCCGGTTAGTTATTCTTGATGTAACAGTTCTCAATTTTTATCTTTTTATATTAAATCATATAAGTGGCTCAGTGATCTTTTCGTGTTAATATAATATTTATTATTAATTCTTAATTGATAAGTTTTCAGTCTTCAATTTTACAATAAATTTCCTACAATTAATTAGAGTTCCTGATATGATACATGTAAATAGAAAGCGGATATTTGTGTAATTGTCTCATATCATAGCATGTGGTATAGTTTGTATCACGCTCTGATTCCATCAGCTTTCATAAATTTATAGTGTGTATATCTTATATGAAAGTGTTTACTAATGACGGTGGCGAATCTCTTCTTAAGTAAGAATTCCCGTGATTTTAGAATCACTATTTTAAGGGATTTGTTTAAAGTGTTGCGCCATAGAGGTCCGCATCAAACGTCACCACCTTACATAATTACCAAAACAAATACTGTTGTATTTTATAATAAATTCAGCTTGAAATTATCGTCAAACTTAGATGTCATTTTCTCAAGGATATTTCCTGAAGTGACTTCCACCTGAATCGTCGTTGTTACAATCACATATATTTGATTGTTCATCTAACTAACCAGTAACTAGTGTTTATGACAGCTAACGGTTATAGATTGAAATCATATACAAAGATACAAGTATCTTCACTAATCCATTGATAACTGGAGCCAATGCTTATTTGTCCCAAGTTCTACGTTGTTTTTGACTGACTGACCATTAATATCTCAGTTTATTGAGTAGAATATATACTATATTCCTCCTTATACTTCCTTTTATTACTTTGTTAACCGACATCATCAATAATGGCAGAGGCTGTAGATTTGCTTGCATCGATGACGCACTGTGCATCAAAACAGTTATCTGCTTGTTTACCTCAAATAGTTCCCCGATTACTAGAAGTGTTAGTGGATTCTCAAGACCGTGTTAAACAAGCTGGTGTTAGAGCATTGACTCAAATTGGTAAAGTGATTCGTAACCCTGAAGTTCAAGGTATGTTATGGAGTGGTATATAAACAATTTTCTTCTAACTAATTTAATGCTTAATAATTGTCATTGGTTTTTCTTATTTCATTGTTATTGTCATTGTGTATTAACTGTATCGTCCTTCGCTTTTTTTGGACATCTGTAAACAAATAAACTTAAACACAAATAGATTTATACTGTTCCCGCGGTTAATAATTAAACTATTTAACCTACTGAAATCACCATTCAACAACCATAGATTCATATCACTTAACATAACACAATTGAGAATTCTGATTAGTAACAATTCGAGCAATATTTAAGCCTAAATCATGACGTATACAAAAACTTAATGTGTGCCTATTTTCACTGTTGTTAGCTGCTTACATTTTTTTCACTGGTCTTGTATTGTAATTACCTAACTTGTAAATGTAACATGTTGGACAATGAGATTAACAAAATTGAATCGTTGAATGTCATTATAATTTTTAACTTTTGAGTAGAAATAGTTTGTCTACTATTCTTCTGTCTAAAACTATCAACTTTGAAGCTACTGTTGATTTCTGGTACATCAGTGAGTTACAGCTGATAATTTACATGAAGTCGATGTTGAAAAACATAAAACTAATGGGTTCATGTATGGACATTGCTGAGAAATCCCATAATATAGCGAAGCGCCCCTCCATCGCTCCCAGGTTTTTAATGGTAGTCTAACTAATTATGAAAATTCTACAATCTCCACAAATCCCCCTGTATTAATGAACATTTATTTACTAAGTATTCTAGTTTACCATGATGGTATGTTTCGACCTAGACTACCTAAGGTTCTTAACTATGTATTACAGTTATCTTCTATATTTCAACAAAACGAATTCCTCTTGCTAACACTATCCAATCAACAATTATTGAGACGATGAACTTATTCCATTTGTATTGATGCAAACCCCTAAGCCTTCTTCCAACCTATTTCTTGTAGAAAAGTACTTATAAATATCTTAGATGTAGTAATTATTTTGTGTACACGTTCCATTAGTACATCGGAAGATGTGTTTAATTTAATAAAAGAAAGTACTAAAATACGAAATTCTAGTTTACCTTCATTTGTTCACTGAACATTTTACTGACCCGCTTTCCTCTATTTAGCTCTTGTCCCATTACTTACTAACTGTCTTCAACAGCCATTGGCAGATAAAACGCCTTGTTTAGCAGCACTTCGTGATACATGTTTTGTGCATGTTCTTGATGCACCAAGTCTAGCACTTATACTACCAGTTATACAACGAGCATTCGCTGATCGATCTACTGAAACACGTAAAATGGCTGCACAAATTTTTGGCAATTTACACAGTTTGGCCAGAAAAGAGGTAAGCTGATTTTTGCCGTAATATGATATTATTATTATTATTTTGTTGAAGAGAGAACAAGCACAAGGATTAGTGCAAAATAATCTGAATTCATCTTATTTCTTTATGTTCTCATCAGTTACTTACAACATATATAATATTTTAAAATCAAAATTATCATAGAAATTGACATACTTATAAAATACGAAGGTGAGTAGAGATGATTATGTATATCATGATGTAACGAAGATTTTAGTTAATAAGATCATAAACATTTGTTTCAGATAAACATAGTTTGAGAGGGAAAGTTTCAGAACATTGAAATAGTGATTTAAAATCATACAGTTAACAAACTTTGAATAGTTGCGTAGTGAAATAACTATGAACAAATTAATGGTAACGAAGAATATTATGATTTGAAACCAGTCAGCTAGAATCTAAATTATGAATTCAAGAAAAATGAAACTGATTTAAAAACTTGAGAAAGTATCGGAATAAAAAATGGTACAATAAAATGGATGTTATATTACCAAGGGAAAAAAGTTTTATGACTGTTGCATTTTTAAACACATTAATCTAGTTTCAAACGTTTGATCGTTATAACTTCAGCAAATTTCAGAAGACTAGGATTCTATTGTTTGTTAATCAACTTGAGAGATTTCAGTGTATCAATTTGATGTTCATGTATCAAGATATCTCGAGTTAACACTATTGAATACCTTTATTCCTCTTGACTCCGAACCTTTTGGAATACGTTCTTTGAATCGGTTGTAAGCCCTTCTTTCTGTTCTACCAATGTTATTGCTTTGGCAGATACATCTGAATTTCTGTACACAGTTGATGTTAACATGAAAGAGGTACCTATTGTGTTAAAAACATATTGCTTTGCAGAAGATAACCAATTCAGCTCCAAAATATGTCCTTTTTAATGTAGTTTTTAGTCTTCTGTTGACTGTTCCTGTAATATAGTCACATTTAAGTAAAAGTATGTTTTTATTTATTATAGTTTCTTTGACCTGTTTGTCCTCACATCTTCCATATTTCTCAATAAATTTCTGTGGTCATCCGTTGTTCCTTAAACACTTCTCAACTTTCATTAGTTCCTCTTCTAGGGTATTGGGAGTACGTATGCTTACTGTTCTGTAAAACTTTTAATCAATAGGTTTTTGTAACTTGGTGGGCTATAAGCTATTGAGATTAGAATAAATTCCATACCATTTTTCTCTATAAACTGGACATTAGACTGTGCCATCGTTCCTCTGGTTTATTACGATATAAAGAAGGTGGGGCTTGTTTTCGTTTTCATGTTCCATAGTAAATTGGGGTATTCTTATAAACTTCGTTGAAGTCTCAGTAGATTTGTTGCATGCTATTGATGATCATATACGCTGAAGTTGTCATCATACATTCAATAATACACTATTTCACCAATCGCTTCTTTAAGCTTGGTTATTTCAAGATTAGCCATGAAAATTTCTTCAGATTTATATCCGTTCACTTGGTTTTAAGCCACTCATGTTTTCTCATATCAAATTTTTTCAGTGAGTAAAGATGTCCAATATGTTTCATCATAATTACCGTATATGTTGTTTAAAGTTTCCTGGTATAGAACTCAACGTCTCGATATTCACATTTGCCCTAATTACGATAGTAGCAATATTTCTTTACCACTCCCTCATATGTTTAAAAATTATGCAACAAAATTTATTGATTTCCTTTTATACAGTTATTTCACAATTAACCATTAATTAACTAAATCAAATATGTATTTATTTTAAGAAACAAACTGACTACTTTATTTCATACTCATAAATTGAATAAGTAGTGACCTCCTTGTTTTTTTTTTAGTGATTTGAATACTACGTTCCTGTTTTATTCGGTATTTTATATTGTCTGTCTTACATTTTGGTCTTTCTATATTTGAAAAATGTTCTCTTTCGGTCAATTAGTGTTATACTATTTCGCGCATGAAATTTATCAATTACAAGTTCTTTTAGAAATGGGATCCTAGTGGAGCTTAATCGTGAAGCTTTGTTTGTTCTCTTGAAAAGTATCATCAGCAAAAACTTCAGATGGAAGTAGGATTTCATGTGCATGGATATGACGTTTCAAATTAGCGATGTAAATTCAAAAATGTTATTGAAATCTGTTGTTTTTTATTTTGAAATTTTGTACATTTCTTGTTATTTACTTTACTTTTGTTAAATTACATTGAATAATGCTGAATCCTTTTTCTTTTTCAAATTTTCTACTTAGGAGTTAGCACCTTATGTAAGTACTATTCTACCATTATTGAAAACATGTTTGTTGGATGCTGTCCCTGAAGTACGTTCAGCTGCGGCTGCTGCACTTGGTGCTGTTGTTCGAGGCATGGGTGAAACTTCTTTCTCTGTAAGTTAACTTAATCAATTTACATTCGGTCTGTATGTTCAGGTTTATCTGTTTATTAATAGAATTATTATAAAATGAATTCATTAACTTCTGAACAATAATAAGTGGCTAAATCTCAGGCAAATAGAACTTCATAATATTATTACATGTTTCAAACTGAGCTGATAATATTATTGTCGGAATAATGAGTTACATATGTAGCGTAAAATGGATTATTTTGCATTACACTTATTCTGTAGTTAATGTTTTAATATCTCATCGCTTTTCATAAGATTGATAAATAGTTACAATCTCTTTCTCAAGATTCTATTAGTTACTAGTTCATGATTACTGATTGTGATTACATAATACAGCTTACTTATAACTAAAATAATATAAAATGTTGAATGTTCAATATGTCAAAAATAAATTTCATTTTCCTACTGAATAGAGATTTAATTTAATTTAGTCCAGTACTTGGATTCTGCACAAGTTTCAACGATAGGGCTATTAGAAAAACTCATTGACTTTCCGAATTTCACTGTTAAGTTCAACTCCATCTGTTCACCAATAATATTAAAATATAGAATTTAATACTTAATACCAGTACACTAATCATGAAATATTGTTTTAATTTTAAGGAATACTTTTACCGGAAATGTTTGAGTTGCAAACTTTAGACATATAAATAAGGATTTTACGCATAACTTTTTCAAGTGATAATCGAATGAAGATAAAAATTTAATCTCTTCCGTTGTGCTTGGTTTTTTTTTGTTTTTGAAAATCTCCCAGGAACTACTTCCATGGCTTATGTCAACTCTAACATCGGAAACATCATCTGTTGATCGTTCTGGTGGTGCTCAAGGATTGGCTGAAGTACTTGGCGGTATGGGAATCGAAAAGTTACGTGTTGTTTTACCCGATTTAATTAGAACAGTTTCATCTGAATCTAAATTACAACCACATATTCGTGATGGTTATTTAATGCTATTCATTTATTTACCAACTGTATTTCAAGATGATTTTGCTGAATTCATTGGACCAATTATCCCTACTATTCTTAAAGTAAGTTATATCCTAGTTTGTTGCTTTACTACAATCTTTTTCCCTCTAATGCAATGTGCATATGTTTACAAAAGATCTGTTTAGATGAGTTTTACAGATGTGTTGGTTACAGATTTTGTTGATCTCCAAAAATACCTTTGGATCATATACTACATTTCCCTACAATTGTTTTAAACTGACTTCTAAACATTTCTTTGTAAATTTATTATTTTCTTCGTTAATCTCTTCCCCCTCCTCTATACTTTTAGTCATTATCTGATGAAACTGAATTTCTACGTGAAACAGCATTACGTGCAGCTCAACGTATAGTCCATATGTTTTCAGAAACATCATTAGAATTATTATTGCCTCAATTAGAACAAGGAATGACTGATTCCAATTGGCGCATACGACATTCATCTGTTCAATTGTTAGGTGAATTATTATATCGTTTATCTGGATTATCTGGTAAAGGAACTACAAAAGTATGTGAAATAAGCAAATAAATAAAATGAACTCATTGAATAAATTTATTTTCTACTTGTGTATGTTTAATCATATTTAAAGTTTTTTTACATGCTGACGAAGTTTTCGTTCTGTTCGTTCCACAACAACTGTACTTAGGTAGGGATTTTTCTTGATTCATTGGTTTTTTAATATATCATAAATGAGTCTAAAAATGATTAACACTTTAATTAGTGAAGTGGATCCTATTGTTTTTACTGTCAGAGTATCACTAAAACCTCTTAAGATCACCGTCATTATACACACTATAATTTTGTAAGAAAGCCTCAACAGCTTCTCTGTTGAATCTATCATGTAACTCGGCCATTAACTTATAGTTATTCAACAGAATACCTTATTTGAAATTCTTATTGTTTTTAATTTCGTATGAAAAGCGTGAAGTGAAAGTATATGTTTACAATTAGGGTTTTATCTGCATCGGTCGTTCGTTAGTTTCTCTCAAAATTAATTTTGTACTCCATATTGTTTATTATTATTATTATCTAATATTGAATATCGACTATACATAATATTAAACAATATATTTGTTTTCACTTTATAGACAACAAATGAAGATGATACATTTGGTACGGTTGAAGCTCATGAACGTCTACGTGAAATTATAGGTGATGAACGTCATAATCGTATACTAGCTCGTTTACATTTATCACGTTCTGATCCTATAATCATTGTCCGTCAATCTGCTATACATATATGGAAAATTGTTGTACCTAATACTCCAAGAACTTTACGTGAAATTATGCCTGTACTTGTTCGTCTATTATTGGATACTTTAGGATCATCGTCTCGTGAGCATCAACAAGTTAGTTAACATTGAATGTGTTCATCTAATTAGATATTTTCTTTTTACAGTTTCATAATTTCTTATTTCTGATTTTAACTCTATAAAATTCAATCTATTAAGTGATAATGTTTGTTGCATTCTAATTTGTGGTTTAAACTATGAAATGTATTGATGTCAGACGTACAGCAAATGTACCCTCAATGCAACTACTTAATAAACTAACAGCTTTATGTTAATCCATTTCACCAACATTGTATATTGTACAAACTAGATTGTTTTGTGTGATACACTTTTTATATCAAAATGTTTTAAGTATTCCCCGTTGAAAGTCGTCAATAATTCCTGGGGAAGTACTTTTCTTGGTTATTCTGTCAAGCTTGCTATAGCGAATACTAGAATTAGTAATATTTAGAAAGAAACCCTCTATACTTTGAAGATCCTGATTGAACGATTACCAAATTCCGTATTAGCTTCAGCATTTCCTCCCTCAAGTTCTTAATACCTTAAGGTCGCCCATAATTCTACAAATGTCCTTCTGTATATAATCTGATCTCCTTCCTTTTTTTCTGTTCGGAGTTCAAATGTCGAAGTTTTTTATGGTTAAATGTTTAAAGCGTAAAATATATCATTATAAGCAAATAAGAACAATCATCATAATCTGTCTCTCTCCATTTTGGATGATCAGCTGTCAAACGATATCACTTCACTATGTTTATTATTCAGACTATGAATTTACCTGAAAATATCTGTAAACTAGTATTAATTATTATCAAATCAATGAACTGTTAATATCGACATAGATTCATTGTTAATAATCAGTATGAATCTTGAAAATTAAAGTATTCAATGGGAATTATCATTCATCCTATTGAAAAAAAGCTACATTACAACGAGCTACTCAAAATAGGTCACATCACTATAAAAAATTATGCTACTGTTACTCATACTTTGTAATTATCATTATTGTAATGGCAACAATTCAAAATAAGTTTTTCCTTAAGAAATTGTCGTTATGTAATTATTTGGTCTGTTGACATTGTTGTTATTCAGATTTTTCCGAGTTTGGTCTATTTCTTTCTTAACTGTATATTTTTACATTTTTTCCCGTTGGATGTAAGATTGCCGCTCGTGCACTTGGTGATGTGGTACGCAAATTAGGTGAAAGAATCCTACCGGAGATTATTCCACTATTGACATTGTTGTTATTCAGATTTTTCCGAGTTTGGTCTATTTCTTTCTTAACTGTATATTTTTACATTTTTTCCCGTTGGATGTAAGATTGCCGCTCGTGCACTTGGTGATGTGGTACGCAAATTAGGTGAAAGAATCCTACCGGAGATTATTCCACTATTAGTAACCGGCTTAGACTCTCCAGATGCTGACCAACGACGTGGTGTCTGTACTGGATTAATTGAAATTATTCGCAGTTGTCAGTCTGATCTGGTATGTTGTATCGTTCTTTTTTGCCCCTAATTTTTACTTCATTGTGAGAGATCTGTGTTGTGTTTTCTTTGTAAATTTGGTAAATACGATAAAGCCTTTCAATTAAGTAATCAGAGTTGTTACTGATATCATGTATTTTAGTGTGTTGGTACTGATTATATCTTATCAACTAAGTTTCATTGTGACTCAATGAAGCGTGCTCCATTCTGGGATGCCATATGGTCGGAGCTAGTCTTCAAGAAACTGTAGACCTAAATTTTACACCAGTTGACACAAGTCATCATGACTTGCTCTCAGTCTTGAGGGGACGGATTTTCTCTGCGGAATTCAGAATTGCACAACCTAGCTTCACAGTCTTAGACGTTATAATTGGTCTCTTTAGGCTGCGACTGACCCATAGGACTGAGATATTCATAGTTAATTTACCACTGACTAGTCTTGTTTATCTATTCCTTTAGTGCCGATAGAATTCTACCGATTCAGTTTTTCTAAAAATAACTGAATTTTCATCAGAAATGAAATGTTTTGATGATTAAGTCAATCAACTGTTGGGTCTTAGGTTCCGAGCTTACTTCAGGTACTTTGTTTTTTGACTACTGCTTATTATCTCTACCCACTCACACTAAAAATATGACGCAAAATATGAGTCAGTGAAGGTCTATGAATTCATAAACTGAGTTACCTTTGCTGCCATTGTATATATAACGATAAGTATTATCTTACATTTTTGCTGTTATATACCAAAGTATTTTGTTATAAAGTACAAGAAGGCATTCTTAAATGCTATGAAAAGTGAGTATTTGAATTTATTACTATTGCTAATTTTGTAAATTTCTTAAATAAAAGTAGATAACTAATATATAGTTTATGAAATACACTTGATTTCTGTGTTTTGCTTGAGACATATATATGCCCAACCACCATCTTCCTCGATTGTTTTCTAGTGTAGAAATAAGCTAGAAGACAGCTGGTGGCGGCCATATCAAAACAGTCCATTAAGTCACTGACAAATGTACTGAGCCATGTTAATAAGTGTAGACTAGCTGATTGTAGTCCACGTGATTATCGTAACTAATTGTTAGAGACTTTGAGTGACATGATTTCAAATCATTTGCAATGGACTACGTGCATTCATTCTTTGTCTTCCCCAAAATTCGTAGATTATGGTTTCCTCGTATATTTTTCCTAATTCAACTTGTTTATAATTTTCCTTTCGAATCGTATCTTCGATGTCTAATCTTTCGTATTACGAATGATATTGTTACTACCTTTACTATTCTTGGATTTGGCCTAACAACTTCATCTATGTGTCAATAGAGTATTGCAACTTGAATGGATGTACATATATACCCACTGACTATTAGACCTTTGGTTTGTACTGCTTCTTTTTGTTCCAATGTCATTGTAGATATACATTCCTGTACATATTATTTAACAAAAAACTTTCTTGCGATTTGTTTCCTTTTTAAACTTATGCATAATAAACCTTTCTTAATAAATATTGTTGAACATTTCTATTTAGCTATCAAATTATGCCGACAGCTTATTAGATCCTATTCGACGTACTTTATGCGATCCACTTGTTGAAGTGCGTCGTAACGGTGGCAAGACATTTGAATTATTATATACTGCTATTGGTATACGCTCACTTGATGGTATTCTACCAGATCTACTTGCTCAATTAGATGATCCAGAAACTAGCCATTATGCGTTAGATGGTATAAAACAATTATTAGCTGTTAAAGGCAAAGCTGTTATGCCATATTTAGTCCCTAAAGTAAGTTAATTCTTATTGTTTTTATAGGTGTTTATTCTTAAAATCCCATGTCCATGAATATTTTTAAACAGTCCTGCTTTGTTATCATTTGGTTTTTTTAAAAATCTAAATAAGGATAAACCTTTGTTGTTCATGTTGTTACTTTTCCTCTCTATTGTCTATATTATTAGCTAACTCATCCAGTGGTCAATGTGAAAGCATTTGCTTATCTTGCGTCAGTAGCTGGAGAAGCTCTTACAAAACAACTTGGTCGAATCTTACCTGCACTTCTACAAACTGTATCATTGATGTCTGAGTCTGATTATAATCAGAACAATGAAAATAAGGATATTGAAGAGGAAACAGAAAACGAGGTGTGTCACTTTTATTTGTTCATATACGAGTATATATATTCTGGTTTATTATTTCATTCACTCCTATACATGAAACACACAATATCAGGTTAATGATGTATAATAATGTATACTAGAGTCTGGATATAATTGCGTAATACGTATTCAATGTCATTATAATATGGTGAAATTGAAAATAGGCAACGGTAAGCCTATAAAATTTACAATAAAAAACACATCTTGGATACACATCAGCGAACTAAAAAAATAGATTCATGATATAGTCACACGATCACAGTATATAGAAAAACCTGTTATAGACTGTGCAACTTCGTCTTTCTATTACCTGAAATCTTTGTCAAACAAATGAGAGAGGGAGAATGCAAAGTTACATTATCTAGCTTTAAATAGAGTTAATCACCTATAACTGAATGGGATTAATTCTAGACATAAATATTCGCAACCACTGTTTTATTTAATGTATTAACTTTAAAATAACTTAAAAATTATGTCGTTATTGTTATTTTATGTTATTTGGAATGTAGGATTTAGAGCATTGTGCTGCTGTCCTTGTATGCATTTATGAAGCCACAGGAATCCGTCAAATTTTGAATGAATTATTATCTGGTTTGTCAACCACTGTAACAATTGACGAAACCACAAATAACACCACTACACAAAACAAACTTGTTCTCGGCTCTAGTGCATATCGACTTGCCTGTTTACGGTTACTACGTGCCTATCTTGAGGCTAGTTTTCAAGATTCTTCTGATTTTGTAACGTCCATTGTGAAATCCAATGTAAACAACAAATCTTCCGATGAAGATGAAACTGATGAATCTGACGTTGACGATGATGATCTCGAAGATGAAGAGGCATCTGATGACGGCTCGTTTAATTCCGATGAAGATTATAGTGACGAAGATGATATGGACAAAGATGATGACGACAGTTATGATGATGACGATGATGATGAGATGGAGGAAAATCCTGATGCTAAAGAAGTTATAAGTCGAGTGTTGAATGAATCATATCCACTTGCTCTTCGTAATATTTGTCGTCTTTTAGCTTCTACTGACAAAACTATTTTATCGGAAGCATGGAAATGTTTAGAAACACTTTTCAAAGTTAGTTTTACCTCTTGTTATTATCGTTCTGAATTTATTGTTACAAGAAAAAACGGTAACCTTTAAAAGTTCCTGATAGTTGATCTTCTTTACGTTTGTATTTGATAAATACTTTTCGTCACAGAAAATTATTTCCAATTCTTTTTTAAATAAGATTATTCTCAGTCAAATTTATAAACACATAACTCTGTAGCTAATTTACATGCGGATAACAAGTAACATTAAAGGCGTACCTTCTCAAACATTTCTTAACTTATTCTACACTTCCTTGTTTATGTACTCGAGATCTATTTGATTTTTTAACTACTAATGAGTAGTTTAAGTGTATCTATGACACTTGCCGTTCTCATAATTATTATTCGTTAACTTTTATAGCGTTGGAACCCTGAAACAATTACTTCCCAAATTGGTGATTTGCGTCAAGGTATTCGTGGTGCTATATCAGAAATGAACAAGTTAGCAGCTGCTAATAAAAATGAAGGTCAAAAATATTTGCCTGGGTTTTCAGATCCTACTTTACCACTTGTTAGTTTAGTTAAATTATATGCTGAGTGTACACTCCGTGGGCGTCCCGCAATTAAAGAACCTTCAGCACAAGGATTATCAGAATGCATAATTCATGCGAATGGGACAGCACTTCAAGGTTGCGTTATCAAAGTTATTGGGCCTCTCATCCGTTTACTGGGTGAGCGTCAGACGAATGTTGTTCGTGTTGCTGTGTTGCAGTCTCTTACTTCGCTTGTTAATAAGGTGAGTTCGTTTCCTAAATAACTGTCTTTATCCTTTCTATTCGTGATTTATCCAGATTATGTTCACATGTAACATTTTATCCTCTTTGATCACTATACCAGAATATTGTAACTGGTTGATGATCTTTTGACTGGGATCTTTTTAAATTAAATTATGAAATGACGAGTCAACCTGATTTTATTTATTTTAGTGCCCACAATCTGTTCGTCCATTTGTTACACAACTTCAGTCAACCTTCTTAAAATGTCTTGGAGACTCACATAAGCAAACGAGAATACTTGGTGGTGAAGGGTTATCATCAATTGTTCCCATTACACCTAAACTTGATCCTTTGTTAATCGATCTGGCTAGAGTATCATCTCAAACTGTTGTATCACGTTTTCATGATTACTTGGAAGATACATCAAGTGAGATAGAAGATATGCTTCCTAAAGCAGGTGTTTCTGCAACTGCACATACATTGGCTGGTGTAGCAGCTTTTCCGTAAGTCGTTGCAGAGCGGTATCAAATTCTTGCTTTATTAAAATATCCTACAAATAGACACTGTTGTCTCCTCCGATTTTTTACATATATATCAGTAAAATTCCTTATTTGATCTCATCTATTTGTTTTTCTACTTGTTTTATTTATTTATCCTTTCTCACGTTTTAATGTGTTCATTTTCTATTCTACTGCACTATAGTGAATTATGGGAAGTTAAAGCGGTACTGACTCATATAAGATCTTACGTAAAACTCTACTGACTAGACGATATACATATGTGTACATAACTTAATCAACAATCGTGGGATTCATCGTTAAATTCATAAATAGGAACAATCTTTTCTATCAAATTCTTCATTATAAAACGGTGTTAACCTGTTTTTAAATAACCAGATAATAACGAATCCCATGCCCATCTAGTTCTCAGTGCTAAATAAGTACATTTTGTAGTGAAATCACCTTATTAATCTGAGGCCCCACAATAGTGTGTACTCACATCACTGTATGAGATCAAACTTCGAAACCTTCAGATCTCTTGATAGGTCACGCGTAAGTATCCAGTTATCCATATTTTCAACTTCAATCAACTTACCATAGACCTTAAATCCGATTCCACATCATTAGTAACTAACTGTCCCACTCCCGTCATCGATGTTATGGGTTTGAGCTTTAACCAAAAAAACCGATAAATCCATCTCGAATTCGGTTGTTAGCTTGTAATCAATTATTGTACATCAAAATGTTTTTATAGTAATTTCCTCACCTTCACAAAGAAATACAAAATCTGAACAGCATTGGGTTTCAATTCAGTGATCAGCAAGAATAATCATCACAATCAGACGTTAAAGCTCTATGTTCGACTCTGTAAAATATAAGTATACACTTCTAAAGAGTTCTTATTTATGGCTAAACTGTTGTTTTGTGTCCTTTGGTTTATAATACTCCTACGAATTACCCCAGTTCGTGACAAGAACTATCCTACATGTGTATCAGTTTTTTTAAACATTTTACACTAGATTTCTCACGGTCTCCTTTTTATTCTATTTTTTTTACTTTGTTCACCGGTCTCTTGTTAATTTCTCTGTCTTTTCATTTTTTTTGTCCGCTGGCACTCAGCACACACTCATTTTTTAAAATATATACAAACTTTCTATGCATTATCTAGTTGAATGTGTCATTATAGCTTATTAGTAGTAGTACACTCAACTTTAAAACTGTACAACCTGGTCTAGTCATTAAGAATTCATGAAATGTAAGAGAAAAAAAGAAGTACTTATTGTCTAGTTAATCTTTTTTCAATCTGAAAAATATCAGTTTTTATGTTTTGATCTTCGTTTTTTTATACAATGTTGTTCAATTCACAAATGTAATCATAGAAACTGTTTAGAAAAGCTTTCTAAATGTGTTCTTTGTTCTTTAGAACATTCGTTAAATTTCACGTTACTTTTATACAAAACGCTTACTATAGTGTCTTTTATTTTCAATCAAACATAGATCATGGTTACTATTTCGAGATAATCAATGAATAGATCTTCTAGTTCACTGTTAATTATTTTAAACCTGTTATATTATACTGATAACATTTTGTAATCATAAGCTACTCATTTTTTTCTTGTTAAATCACCTTCCTCTTGACATTGAAAACTATTGTACTTATTTTTTAAAATAATGTCATTATCTTTTACAATAGATTTAATTCAAGACTTATACATAAATATATTAATGATGGCTACAAATTGAAATTAGTGTAAAACACTTATAACAGATCACGTAAAATTGAGTTTGTTCACAATTAATTCAATGAAGTCATTTTATTAATTTATTAACGAACTGAGTCATCCGTACAACAACAACTTATCTATATCATCGCATCTTTATTACTATTGCGAATGCATGAACATGTATGCTTGAATATTGCTTACGCCCCTCGCATTTATTCACTATGCTAGTTTTACTACTAACCACTTATTTGATTTGATGACTCATTCATTTCACTATGTATATATATGTCCATGTTATTCATATTCATTACTCTCTCGCTCTCACTTGCTTAACTGTACGCGCTTGCTCGTATTCATATTCGCTGACTCCTCACGTGGTTGCTTGCCTTTCGGCACAACTCTTCTATGCTTGTTTAACGCATCTGTAATTTTGGATATCTATGTGTGTGGTCCCGTAATAAACGTAATCAACGCTTCGTATTCGCCTTCTGATTAATATACCGTTGGGGCGTTATATAGCACGATTATCAAGACGAAGTGTATACGAAGTTTGAGGATTATATCAAATACCGACCACCACATACTATTCATCTTGTATAAGCATAAGTATTTAAAGTAAGATTGTTCATTCTAATCATATTGTTTGTGGATCCAATTAATTAACCTAATAACTATACTACATCTACTGTTTCTTAGAAATAATAATGTACTACTGTTGAGAGATGTTCAGTTCTACTGATTAAATCATTTATTTTAAACAAAAGTCTTTGTATTATGTGTAAAGTATGCAAATAAAATTGTACAACTCAGATACATGTTAATTATAAACCGTTACTATATCATACAAATTGTATTTGTAGGTTTATGTACTCAGTTTTGAGTCAATGGTAATATTAATGAGGTTTAATGATGCTATACAGTTATTCATTGAAATATTGTTTAAACTTACTTATTGTTACATCCATAAATATATGCTAAAACTATATTCTTTTAATCCAAGATAGGTCAAAACCAATTAATTGATATACAACTCCAGTGTAAGATCCATAATTTCAAGTTCATGTATTACATAATATTACAAAACAAAGTGAAAATAAGCAGATATATATTCATGTTACATAGACCTGTATCAGAAAGTCAAAGTAACTTAGTATTCAAAAAAAAATTCAGAAATTCGATATTTTATTTTAATTGATTTTAAACTGTTTCACTATCTTTCTAATCCATACGCTCTCAACATTCTACAAACTCCATCGATGATGGTATAATATATTAATGCAACCTAAGCTAATAGTCAGTGATTTCCTAAAATAGATCAACATCTTGTTATAACAACTCTTGGTGCTTTTCTAAACATAAGCTCGTTTCTAACTGTATCACACTTTTGTTCATTTAAATTGAATTCACCATCTACTAAGATAATATTATATGCAGATTTATAAGCTTATTTATTTTTGCATGTATTTTTTACCATATTTTTATCTTTGTGTTATCTTGTTTTTCATTTTATCAATATTTACTAGTGATACTAGTTTACAGGCGTTACGTTTGTGTCTAGAACATTCCAGAGGTCGTGCTGGACTAACCGCTTTAAATACTATACTTCACTCATTAATTCCATTAATGCGTTTACCAGAGTCTTGTGGTAATGAAATTCGAATTGAAACAAATCCACACAGAAATAACATTGTTGATGACAATGAATATAATAGTGAAGATAATGATGATGAACAAGAAAGTGTCTTAGGATCATTTAATCAAACTAAACAAGTATTGATCTCCTCGGATCAACTGCGTATTATAGTTTCTTCATGTATAGGATTTATTGTTGTTGCTGCACAAGCCACTATTGACAACCTTCCACAAAGTGACAATGAGAAAATACAGAAGAAACTTGAACTTATTGATTTATTTGAACGGAAACTATGCCTGTCTTCATTCACCAAACAAGGTATATCTTAATTTATCATGTTATTAAACAATAATGATTCTATAAGTGTAATTATAAAAAATTACAATTAACTATTTAATGTTATTTGTATTATCATATTTTGACTAATTAAATTAGACATGATCAAATCGAATACCACCGCTAACCTATCAAAATCTAAATTATCTTTTGATTTGAATTTGTTTTAATGATACATGTCCATTTCATAACTGGTTATTTTAAATCAGTTATAGTGGTATATATCACATTTATTCTTTTTTTTTCTATGGAAATTATATTCTCAATTTCTGATTCTCTCCTATTACTACTACTATTATGGATTGCTTCTGTCACTTTGACTCGTTTACTACTCATCTTATTGTAATGATCTTTTTTATGTCAACTTAAATTGGCTTACATTTGCCCTCAGACTCTACATTGTTTATATTTCACTGACTACTGGTAGTTAGATACAAACTCTATTATGACATGCTGGTTTCATTGGTATTTATTTATTAGTATGATTGACTTTAACGTCAATAATAACTTACCCACTATTCGTGGTAGAAAATCAATATAGATTGAAGATCTCGATGATTTATCAATTTCCAATGTATAGAGAAATATATGGAAATTCCCTTTCGTTTTTTTTCCTTAATATGTTACCCTTACTCATTATTAATAAATTAATTCAATAGAACAACTAATGATAGAGTGTCATTATGCATGTAGACCTCTTCTCAGCTTCAAATATTAAAAAATTAAAGTAAGAATTTCTAATGTTTTTTTACTTTAAATCGATTTCCTGTGATGGATAATTTAAACAAGTGAGACATTTTGTTAAACTATGCTGATGAAATGAATTCAATTGTCAACTAATCAAAACTTCTAAGAATAGCAGATTTTGTGGTGGTTGTCATTATTGTAGCTCATAAGAACTGTGACTTACACTGTGTCGCGAAACTTTAGAAAATCTAATTTTTTTACCCATTGGCATATTACAAATATATTATTTTTATTTATAGATATTTGAAATTCTGATATTACTGTAGTGAACAAGGACTCGGTTGAGAAAGCCAATTTATTATTTAATGTAAAATTACAAAGTGCCTTCGTAAAATATGAAAACTACATAAATACACTATTTGCACATCTTCCATCGGTTGTCCTTTACATGCTTCATGATTCTTTCAATTATGTTGTTATGACAGTTGCTTTCTACTTCCCTTTCTGTTCTCTTCAATTGAATCTTTTCAATCTCCTGCTTGCATGCATTCCACTTCTGATTGGTGCTACATACTACTTATATCTGTCAACATAAATAGTAAACGCCATATTACTACGAATTAGTATTTTATGTTATAATTAGCTGACCTTCCCTATTCTTTAGACAATCTCTACTATTATGTAACTTTCTTTAGTCATTCTGTCTAGAAATCAATTCATCATTATTCATTCGAAAAAGTGTTTTATTATTAGTTCAAGTCTATATTGAAAAAAGTTCACAGTAATCTATTCTATTTCTCAATAATCTTCAAGAATATTTATAAATAGATAGGCTTCTGATTGTTTACATTTATTCTATGCAAAACTTGAATTTGATATATGAAGTCTAAGATGAAATTGAATATTTTTTTTCAATACGTACAGTTAGGAATGTTTTTTTATTTCTTCCTCACTGTTTATACTTCAATTTTATATAGTCTAATTTAAATAGATGTGTGTGATTACAAGAGAAAGTTTTCTGCTAATTGTCAGATATAAGTTTTTCATTACTTTTGTAATTTTCATTGTTTACTCTAGATGTACAATGGACATTTAACCAAAGTCAAGGCATTGCCCTTCTTATTCCACTGAAGCATACACCAAAAATTTTAATCAATTCAGAGACCATACAGTCAGGTTTTTGTGAACGCCTAGGGCAATTCATTAAACAATTATCCATTCATGAAAATGTTAGTTTTATTAATACTATTATTTCAATTTGTAATCATAACTATTGTGCTTACTGAGTTATTTAACTGTATCAACAAATTCTTATTATATGTATGTTTGTGTGTTCGTGTAATGATACGCACAGCAGCTTGATCATCAAACCGTTTGTATCGCAAAGAGTAGGTTGCATATTCAGTCCCTACCTCATATACTTTTTTTGTCGAATTTGTACTTGGGTGCTGAGTTATTTGTATTATTCCAAAACTAATTAATTATTTTGTCTAAAATTGTTATCCAATACAATAAATTGTATTGTTCTCACCTTCTATCATATGGAATGTTAAAGTTTATGAAAAGAACTTTATAAAACTCAATGACATCATTCTGACAAATATTTTGTATCGACTATGTTAAATCACTAAATACAAGTCTAAGCCTATGGGACGCTTCAAGCGACATCATTTGTATTCTTCATCTACGTATTCATTCATCACCTACTTGTTCATAATAATATCATTTGATCACTATTGAATTTTTTTCGGCTTTTATATCGTTAAGAAGTTTCGATAAGAGTAATATACATATACTATATAAAGCGCTGGATTTTCAATCCATACGCGGCAGATTCGATTCTTCAGTTTATGAAGTTGAATATTAGTAGTAGCAGTAGTATTTGTAGATATAAAATATTACAACGCAAAGTTGGATATTGTACTTGGTAACTGGAACCTGGTAACTTTACTTAATCCACTTTCTCTAGACAAAATTAACGTAAATCATTACTACCATGTTTAGTTATATTTTCTCTTCATAGTTGAGTAATGTTGAAAATTACGGAAAAGAACTTATAATAACAGAGGAATAATAATTTTATGTATTGAAATCATCTCATGGGATCAGTAGAGCTATTAAAATATCATTCCTATTTTATTTTCTATAATATCAATTGATTTGATTAGCTTAAGTGTAAGCTTAATTTTTAAGTTTAACTCATTTATTTATCAATGAAATAAAACGATTCAAATAGACTGTAGAAATACGTAAATGATCATTTAAATGAACTAACGTTAAATTAACTGTAATAATTTGACAGATGGGGTTACACAATAACTTATATTGGTAATCTGACTGAATAACAGCAAAATTTTAGATATACATTATATGTTTTTCTGGTGTGCTTCTTATCTATTGTGAATTGGTGTTATCTACTGAAACTTTATACATACTGGAATGATAATTGCGATTTGTCTGTATGAAAAAAGCTTTGTAATTTAGTCCGAAATTACTCCAAATAAACAGTGCCACTTTCAATAACTATCTCCCACCCCTTCCGACCAATTGTTTTGTAATTAGTTATATTACAGTTGGCTACTGTAATTATCGTCGCAGTGATAATAATCATTATTATATTATCGTCACATTGTAATCTTTCACTACTCTTATTGTTTGTCTGTTTTTCTTTCATACTTCACATTTAGTCCGTCATTTGTCAAATAGGATACAGATGTATTGGATGCTTTGTCGGTTATCTAACAGAGAATCATGAAGTGAATTATAATCCTAAACTATTACTGGAGCTACTTGGAAAAGTAATTTTTATTTTATTCCCTATATGTATACGATTGGTAAAATATGCTATGTCTACTGAATTACTTAATAGTAGTTTATCTGAAACGGGTAAATTATTTGAGTCGTTATGACATTCGCTAAAATAAACTGGATAAAAAAAACCATCCAGTTGATATACTGTACTGCAATCCACTGCTAGCCACTACCCATCTTTTCTTAGAATGAAGTACACAATACGCACAGTATGCACATATGCCAAATAGAGACTGATGAATTGCAGTTTTAAACATCAATGAGAAGAAGATTCAAGTAAACTATATCAAGTGAATTTACAAGTCAGTTTTATTTGATCTTTTTCCAAACATTCTCTGTTTTTCACTTTCAATTTTATTTTTGACCTTTAAATAGGGTTTCGAACATCCTGTAATCGATGTGCGTCTATTGTCTACAGTTATATCCAGTCATATTGCATGGCGTGTAAAATTGCCAATTCCTTCTTGGTTATGTACATTTTTGATTAAACTTCTTAGCGGAATAAAAGATAAAAATAGTGCAGTACGACTTGGAAGTGAAACAGCTTTAGCTGTACTCTGTCGTTTAAATGCTCCAAAGAATAAAGATCAAAACCCTAATTCTGAATATTTACAGGTTAGTGAAATCAAATTTTGTATTGTTTATAATGTACTATATATGTAGTTGAATTAACAGTAGAATTAGGAAAACAAGTCGGGTATTACATTGGGATATTTTCATCAAACAAATATAGATTAGTCTTCGTTTGAAAGCAGTTTTATTCAATTGTCTGTAGTTGTTCTCAGTCTAACCTTTATGGTATTTTATGTTAATCTATGAAACAATTCTTCCCTTGACGATAAACGCAGTTGTTGCGCTCTTTTCATTCGTTAACAACTATCTGAAAAGATCATTATTATCCCTATTAAATACTGGATTATCTGTAAAATACATTTATTCAACTAATTAATTAACGTTTGTACATATTTTAGATTTTTTCACTTTTAAATATTGTCATTTAACGCTTCTCCTGCGTAATATTTGGTAAGTTGAATTACCTCTAGTTTGTAAGCAGTCAGTGAGACAACCGGCTTACTTTCAGTCACTCTTAATTTAGTTGTGTTCACTTAAAATATCTCTGAAAAGTTGCCTTTCTACGCTAAAAAATTTTATTGTATGTAGACTATGGAATTGAATGTCTCAATCAATTTCATCATCTCAGTTCTTAACGCTTAATGTGTATATGAATGTGGTTTCCAAATGATTTTCTGATCTCTTTTTCAAACAAGGTAACGGTGAAGTCGAAAAAATACAGACCCAAACAATTAATTATAAAATAATATGATATTCGTTGAACGAACTTGCGGTTTTTACTTATGATTAAAAGACTATATTTTTTCAATCTTCGTGTTCTAAGTCAACTAGCATGGGTGGCCCATACTAGGACGAAACGATCGTCCAGTGTTTTCAGGTTTTCCATGATGGTCTAGCTTTAATCGACCCATGAATTCAACTATTAAAATCAAATGACCCAATAAGAGTAGAAGATAAACATCCATCATCCTCTATTGCTAAACACATAGTTGGAACAGATCATAAGATTGATCTGGACTCGGTTTTTCTGGTGTTGTACAAAAGTGTTAAAAGGCGTATACTAAGGTTTATTGAAGCCTTAGCCATACGAAAATTCAAACCCGCTTAATGTACTAAAAAACAGTTTGCTCTCACCTTAAACCTACCCTGGTAATATTGACTTATTATCCAAAGTGATGAAGTTTAAAATTGTTATCACATTATTTTCTTTATTATCCTTGTCTCGTTTTAACCTTCATTTCCAGTCTAGTTGACCTTTTATTTTTACATATAAATGTTTTAATAACAAGTATATATGTGATCAGATTGTTCGAAATGTAAAGCGCTAATATATCACATAGTTCTGATAATCTTCGTCTTCTTATTATACTATCGAAATTTTTTTCCCTTTGCCGTCGATGTCGCTGTTTTGCATAACTCCGAGCATCAATCAAACAAAAGAAACTAAATTCTTTTTTATATTTTAAATTATAATCTCTAACACAAATATTTGTCTAGTATTGCCTTCTTTTAGTCATTTCTCTTTAATGTAGACAAATCAATAAGGATAATAATTAATTATAATAGGGAATAAAGAAGAATAAATACGACTGTTTATCCGTCTCCTTTTATTATTGTTAGTTTAAAAAATATATATTAGAATGTATTCCTAGTAAGAATTTACTCGTTATTTTTTCCTTCTTTCGAATCACCATTATGTAATAATAATGATAATAATAATAATAATGTTTTGTTTTATTCTATTTTTTTATCTCATATTTTGCGGCATAATACACAACATAAGTAAACAGACATACATGTAAATAAATCTATACATGTACATGTTCAAGTTTGACCGCCTAGATAAAAAATTTTATTGCTTTTTTTTCATTCCCTTACCGCTTCTACTATTGTTGCTGCTACTCACAGTAATCAGTAATTTTGATTTCCCATACGCCACCCACGCATCATGTCATGCTTTAAAGTTGTGAGGCGTTTTTTCCCGTTACTTAATTAGTGAATTATTATTACTATTATCAATCTCAGTATTACGACCATACAGTAATACATACGATTGATTAATCAGTGGATACGTATTCATAGAGAAATAGTAGGAAACAATTGTAACAATTAAGATGAATTTAAGGAGAAATAAACACTTTAAATTATGTACTATTTTACTGTGGTGGTTGTGTGAGAATTTTTGAAAGTTAATTTCATCATGAATTAAGGGGTATCCCCAGCGAACGGTTATTTCATACTCGTCTTGGACGCTTTAAGGACCCGTTTAGATGGATGCGTTTTTACCACTGAGTTATCATTTAATAGTTTACATTTCTAAATCCAATTGATTTGTAATGTCGTGCGCTTATCATTGAATTGCCATTAATAATACTTGTTTCCCTCAGGACACTATTAAAATCCACTAATTACGTCTCATTCAGGATAATAGTACAATCTCACATGATTTCTATCGGACTAGAAGGATATTAATCTACGCATAGTTTTAGAAAATTATTTATCAATTTTAGCTCCATATCTACAGTCTGTTTACTTGACTACTGACGAAATCTAACCATATGGTGTTGATTCCAGTCGTTGAGAGCGAACACTATGATCAATGTTCCGAAATGTTGATGTTATTAATCGTAAAGATAATGATGATCATTTGTATTCGATTCTTACCGAATTAACACGATATAATCACTTAGTCCTTTAATAATTCCTTCCTCAAGAAAAGAGCAGGTTACAATATCAACACCAAAAGTGATAATTTGTTCAATTTTGCCATATATATCTGATGTACAAAAAATATATATCCTCCCAATTATTTTTGATATTTATTTAATGCTTTTTCTGTATGCAATATATATTGTTTTAGGCTTGTTACGACCTATTGGATAATAATACACGTAATCAACTAGAAACACTTATACAACAACGCCTTCGTAAACAAAATTGGTCTGAAGTATGGCGTCAAGGTTGCCCAGATATGGATAATACAATTTGATTGTAAACTCATGTTGAACGCCACAAAATTCAAGCCTTTCCTTGTTTTCTTATTGTACAATCTATTCGAATATGTATTTGAGTTAGTTGTATTCATACATAACTAACTTCAAACATTCTGTTACCTTGATTTTCTCGATATGTAACATATATATATATGTTATATGTATATATATGCGTGCATATATTTGATGTTTATTTTTAGCTTTTATTGATTCAATTTTCATTAAAAAAATTTACAGCACATATCATCTTTGATTTTCTGAAGTTTTACGTTTTTTTTTGTTTGTGTAGGAATACCATGGGAGGTTCATTATTAATGTTGATAATAACAAGACTATCGTTGTCAGTTTCATATGAAGAGATTTAGTTGAAGTCTATCATATATAAATAATTATCGTCATGGTAACAAACTTTTAAGCGTTTGATGAGTATATTTATGTTCTTATTACATATTGGTTAATATTCAAAAAAGATTACTTACCTCATAATTCCTACATGTATCCTATTAAAGGCGTTTGAGAATAATCCATTTGATCCTATCAACTAGATTTATTATTTTACAGAGTAAGCGGTGACTCGGCGGTCAAGGGCTCAACTTTTGGTCAGTAATTATCTAGCTCATACTCCCTTCTACATGATTCGATTTGAGTAACAGGGTGGTAGTACCAGTAGTCTCCATAACTGGAATGTGATCTAGGGTCAAATCACACAATTCGTGTCTGTAAAGTGAGTTACTGGTAGTGGTAAAATGATACCAAGTCATTCTGCACAGTTTGTCTGAGTGTTGGAGAGACTCAATAGACTGTTTTAGAACTAGACTTTGTGTTTTTTTTTCCCGACCGTTGTTGCTACCTTGACGTGGTGGTCGGGCTTGCCTATCGTGATGAAGCAACCGAGCTATACTGGCTGGAACAACCGTTCCTCAAGGTCCTACCATGTCAGACAGGTCGGTTGAAGAGCGGTAAGACTAAAAGCAACAAACCCAAGGTCCGAAGGCGAAGTCGTACTGCTGACTGTACAGAGGTGTGACAGCAGTAAGGTGTTTCCTTCAGACAACCAGCATGACAGCGATGCTGCCTTCCCACAAGGAGGGGTGGGGTTAGAAAAGGTCGACCCTAAAAATGCACACCTCACCTTACCTCACGGATTTCCGTCTCCGGCGGTAAGGCCCTTTGCAGAACGGAGCTAACACGTCGAAAACCTTCCACAAAAAGGCCGTGCGCGACCGGCCTCAAGCAGTTGTCCCTTGGGCACTGCGGTCACGCTCTCAGGTCACTGAGACCACCTCTAATCCAATTTCCTTTTCAGGTACCTCCAGAAGAACCCTTCCACGGTGTGGGCAACCGGGAAGTGATAGCCGCCCTCATACCTCTAACAGCACCCAAGACCACTGTATTCATAATCAACCTTCCTCTCCAATTCCTATTATTCCTCCTGCATCGACTTTCAACCCTAAACTTCCTCCTTCGGCTTCCTCCTCAAGTATCACCATAGCCAACGATTCTAGTGCTCAAAACTCTGTCCCAGGTCTACTGAAACCTCGCTCCAAACTACACATTGGAGCTTTCAACGTACGCACTCTATGTCAAATCGGTCAGCAGGCTTCCTTGGCTAAAACCCTAGAGTCTCTTTCCATTGATGTATGCTGTGTCTCTGAAACACGCATACAGGATCCCAGTGTGGTCATTCACTTGACCTCACCTCGGCAGAACGGAGAGCCAACGAGATACACCCTTCGTGTATCTGGTGACCCGATGGCCAGTTCTCGTGGACTGGCAGGTGTAGGCATAGCACTAAGCATGAGGGCCGAACAAGCACTGCTAGAGTGGATCCCCGTCAACAGTCGTCTATGTGCTGTTCGGCTGAACGGCTACGTAAGAACTCGGAAGGATAGGGACACACGTCGTTGCCTTTTTGTCGTTTCTGTCTACGCTCCCACTGACTGCAGCTCAGATGAAGTGAAAGATGAATTTTACAGAAAGCTTTCTGAACTTCTTCAGAAAGCTAAACGCTCAGACATAGTACTCGTAGCAGGTGATTTTAATGCTCAGATAGGTAGCTTAAACCAAACAGAAAGGCATTTAGGTGGATATTTTAGTATTCCGACACAGCGAACAGATAACGGTGATCGTCTGCTGCAGCTATGCTCAGACAATCGTTTATTTTTAGCAAATACAAATTTTAAGCATAAGGAGAGACATCGTCTAACATGGCGACCCCCTACACCAAACCAACGATGGACTCAAATAGACCATATTGCCATCAGTCATCGTTGGAGAGGGTCGGTAGAAGATTGTCGCTCATTCTGGAGTACCTGCTTGGACTCCGACCATGCCCTAATACGGGCACGCATCTGCTTGCGCCTCACTGGACGCAAAAAAACCACATTAAAAAGACCCGTTAGAACTGAGTTGAGTAACGAGAAAACCAAAAGTAGGTTCCAGGAACAACTGAGGTCACACTTAGGTAATTGTGAAGACGAGGCTGACCCAGATGTTGCTTGGAAGGGCATACAATCAGCTGTGGAAACAGCAGTGACATCTATCAGTGACTTAAACCACAGAGTTGCAAGGAACCAGTGGATTTCTTCAAGGTCTGTCACACTGATGGATTCTCGCAAACTCGTCCCATCAGGTTCTGAACATGATGAAGAGCGAAAACAAATCAGATCTAGGTTAAGAAAAAGTCTAAGGAACGACCGTGAGCAGTGGTGGGTAACGAAAGCAAAAGAGATGGAAAAGGCGGCGACTATAGGGAACACAAGACAGCTTTACAGACTAATAAAAGAAACTGGAATTAATAAGTCAAGTGTAAGTGAGATTATTTCGGAAAAAGATGATACTCTCATCTGCTCCCAGTCCAGACGTTTAGAACGATGGGCGGAACATTTTAGAGAACAGTTCAGCTGGCCTTCAGCTACTCTACAACTACCCTCCATTCCCAGACAATGTGAATGGAACATTGAAGTAGGTCCCCCAACTCTTGCTGATGTTCAAAAGGCTATAGTTAATCTGAAACGAGGAAGGGCAGCTGGTCCAGATGGATTGGCTCCAGAGGTCTTTAAGGATGGTGGTCCAATTTTAGCGATTAGGTTGACTAATATTTTAGCTAAGATCTGGGAATTAGACTTTATCCCATCTGACTGGTCGCAATCACTCATCGTCCCAATATATAAGAAAGGGTCAAAATCATCCTGTGACAACCACAGAGGGATTAGTTTAACAAACATAGTATCTAAAATACTGGCCTCGATAATTATCAGACGCCTAACTAAGACTCGTGAACTACAAACTCGAGAGAACCAAGCTGGCTTTAGACCTGGTCGTGGCTGCATCGACCACATATTCACCATTCGTCAGGTTCTAGAACACAGGCATACCTATCGGCGTCCGACGATGGTGGTCTTTCTTGACTTAAAAGCAGCGTTTGACTCTGTAGACCGCGAGACTCTGTGGCAGTGTCTGTCATTGAAAGGCGTACCTCAGAAGTACATAAACCTTGTGAAGGCTCTTTACTCGAACACTACTAGTCGAGTCAGAGCTTATGGCGAACTGTCATCTACTTTTGCAACTTCAAGTGGTGTCCGTCAAGGCTGTCCACTTTCTCCATTTTTGTTTAACTTCATCATAGACCTATTGATGGAAATAACACTCTCGTCGACTGAATTCTCGGGTATTGATCTCCTTCCAGGAGGTCCACTTATCGACTTAGAATACGCAGATGATATAGTCCTGTTTGGTGAAGAGGCTGACAAAATGCAGAGTCTTCTGGTAGCACTAAGCAACAATGCCAGAATGTTTGGGATGCGCTTCTCTCCCTCTAAATGCAAGTTGTTGCTTCAGGACTGGTCTGCGTCAACACCTGAACTAAGGATAGGGAGTGAAGTAGTCGAACGCGTCGACAACTTCACTTATCTTGGAAGTCTGATCAGCCCAAATGGGTTGGTGTCTGACGAAATCTCAGCACGGATTCGAAAAGCTCGTTTGGCTTTTGCCAACTTACGTCACCTTTGGCGGAGGCGAGATATCCGTCTATCAATAAAAGGACGAGTTTACTGCGCGGCAGTCCGTTCTGTCTTACTTTACGGCAGCGAAACATGGCCTTTAAGAATAGAAGACACCCGTAAACTACAAGTATTTGACCACAGATGCCTTAGAAATATTGCTGGCATCTGCTGGGATCACCGGGTAAGTAATAGTGAGGTTAGACGCAGGGTATTAGGGAATGATGGTAAATCAGTTGATGAGGTTATGAATCTTCATCGACTGAGATGGTTGGGCCACGTATTACGTATGCCTGAACACCGATTACCACGACGTGCAATACTAACCGGTGTAGGGGTTGGTTGGAAGAAAGTTAGGGGCGGCCAAACCAAAACGTGGCATCAGTGCTTGAAGTCACTAACTTCTAGTCTGAGCCATGTTGGTAGATGCAGACTACTTGGTTGGGGTCCGCGTGACTATCGTAACCAATGGTTGGAGACTCTTGGTGACATGGCTCAGAATCGATCACAATGGCGTCGGTGTATACACTCCCTGTCTTCCCTTAAACTAAGAGATTAAATCACTTCATATCCTTCTTTCCACGAACTAATTCTTCCTTCCTATACTAAATCCTTATTGCAACCTTTGACCTAACCACTCCTATGAATCCGGTGTTCATCTTGTTGTGCTAATGAGGTATGGCAACCTGGACCGATGCACATATGTGCCTGGTCCTACGTTGTAGCTGACTGACTGAGACTTTGTGTTTACCGGTACAGTTAGGTACATATCAGTTATCTCTTCAACATTGACATAATATCAGAGATTCGGTTCCTCATCGTATAATATTTTTACCGGGGACGCTATCGACAAATTTATACGAAGTTATTCGTTCATATGGTTTTTTGCCTATAAATTGTGTGGTATTTTATGGAGAACATAACGCTTTCCGGTTATATAATATGGCTGTTTACTCCAGTCATTGACAGATTCTACTAAATTAAATTAATTTTCATAAGATGTTATTGTATGTTGTTTATGGTGTTAAAAAAAAGTAGAAGTTTCACATCCTATTTTATATCTGGAAATTAGCATGAATTTATTCCAAATATGGAACCTGATTAGCCGTCCTGAATCAAATACCGAATTTTAATGTGCATTTTTTTTTACGAAAATGTATATCTTTACAGCTTAACACATATTGGAGTGTGATTTTCATTAGAGATTTCATTTCAAGATCTGATTTTAAAATTATATTTATCTGTGTTTTT